GCATGATTATGTTTTAGATTTCAAAGCATTTCGTCAAAAAACAAAGGAGATATAGCCATTTAAAGTTTCAGCCAATCAGATTGCTGCACACGTGCATGCGCGTGATTTCGAGAATTTTTTTCTAAGTCATATTGTAGAATATCCTAATGCATGACTATGTTTTAGATTTCAAAGCATTTCGTCAAAAAACAAAGGAGATATAGCCATTTAAAGTTTCAGCCAATCAGATTGCAGCACACGTGCATGCGCGTGATTTCTTGAAATTTTTTGTATATCATATTGCAGGATATCCTAATGCATGACTATGCTTTAAATTTCAAAGCATTTCGTCAAAAAACAAAGGAGATATAGCCATTTAAAGTTTAAGCCAATCAGATTGCAGCACACGTGCATGCGCGTGATTTCTTGAAATTTTTTGTACATCATATTGCAGGATATCGTAATTCATGACAATGTTTAAAATTTCAAAGCATTTCGTCAAAAAACAAAGGAGATATAGCCATTTAAAGTTTCAGCCAATCAGATTGCAGCGCACGTGCATGCGCGTGATTTCATGAAATTTTTTCCATATTATATTGTAATATATCCTAATTCATGACAATGTTTAAAATTTCAAAGCATTTCGTCGAAAAACAAAAGAGATATTGACATTTTTGTTTCAGCCAATCAGAGCGCAGCGCACGTGCATGCGCGTAAGTTCGTGCTAATTTGACCATGTCATATTATCTACACTATTAATATATCCTTATATAATGAGTTTTAAAGTATTTCATCAAAAAATGTAAAAGTTATAGCTATATTAAGTATATCAGTCAATTCACTCATTTCACGCGCACGCACGTGCATGCGTATGCGCGCAAAATGACCTTCGTTCCGCACACCTACACTACACACCTATTAACCCTAAAAAGGTTTTAGCTCAGTTGGGTGAACAGTTTCCGAGAACACTCGCGGACAAAAAAGTACCGGAGAACAAATAAGAAAAAAAATAATAATAATAATAATAAGAAACAGAGTAAAAACAATATGTTCCCAAACTCCGTTTGGGGAACATAATAATAAGAAACAGAGTAAAAACAATATGTTCCCCAACTTCGTTTGGGGAACATAATAAGAAGATAACATATGGGATGAATTTGTACTGGTCAGCTCAGCGTAATTAACGTGGCGGAGATAGCACACGTGGGCGCGATCATACAGAAGCAGTTAGATAGGTAAACAAATAAGAGTTGAACTTTAACCTGGCCAGTTCCAAGAAATGAATCGTTTATTATGAAAGGCATTTGGTTAGGAGGAAGGAGCGACCAATAACATTTGTGACCAGGGGTCAATTATACGAATAAATTAGATACAGCAAGTGAAAGTAACAAATTTTGCAAAAGACAGGAAGTAATTTTTAAAACGCAGTAGTAAACTAAAAGTGTTGAAGGATAAAGAAATAAGTGTTAAAAATTCAAATTGGAAATAAAAGTAATTATTGGAAATTTTGAAGGCGATCCGAATATGGAAATGAAAATCGGAGTAAGAGCTAAGGTATAAAATGAGCGGACGACGGACATACGCCAGACAAGAGCTGGATTGTGTTTGTCTCTGCTTCATTTTATACAGGTAAGATTATTTGGTAGACTTGCGCGATTTTGTAAATTATTAAGTTTTCAGAAGGTTTAGTTTATTTTCAGGTTTAGATTGTTTATATTGTAACACAGTAATATTTATTATAATGTTTAATATTGTGTGTAAAATTATTTATTGTAATTATAAAATAAACGGATTGTTTCTTTAAATAAAGACAAGAGCTGGATTGTGTTTGTCTCTGCTTCATTTTATACAGGTCTGGTCAGGGAAGGTTCTCAGGGCAAAAGGAATTGCCTATTGCAACATCAAAGAAAGATCTAACACAATCCAAAAGCGGAATTGAGTTGTTCCACTCGGTGTGTCCTCTCACTAAAATAAAAACGATCCCGGGTGTAAATGAACAAATTTATGATCGGCCCAACGTCATTTGGGACTCTGCCTCCTCAAACTTTGATGGTTGAGGTGTGATATACAGTTATCATAGGCGGGAGTCCTCAATGAGGTTGACCCGGTTATAATAAGTGGTGGAGAATCCGGGTAACTCATAAAATCGTCATTACAGTGTGATAAATATTCCATATAAAAAGGATCTTCTATACACATAATAAAGAATAAGCAATCAAATCTTTATATCCATGTTGGCATATTTTATTTGCTTCAGTATACATGTATACATTTTTACTTCTACAATAATGGCATAATAATTCAGTCAGGGGGATCCGACTCGATCCCCCCTCTCCCCGAACTGCGCATGGTTTACTTTTTCCCTAAGCGGGGGACACAAATTCTCTGAATTAGCTTGTTAGCATTAAGTTGAGGTAGCAGTTCTAAAATTAGAAGCAGGTTGAATGTTGAATGTTTTTTTAATTAAAAAACAACATCAAAAGTGAGATTATTGTAAATAATTAAGGAATTAAGTCTTCATTCGAGCTCTTAACTTAACAGTAAAAATTAATGAAATTAAGACAGCATTATTTCCAAACTTTGCTCTTTTTATCGGTTTGAAAGTTGAAAGGGCTTAAGGGTCCAGGGCCCACTTGAGTTGATTACTTTGTAGTGAAGGAGAAACTTAGAGTACTGTGCAACAATAATACAAGAAGTGGTGTAAATCAGATGTGGATACTTAAAAATTCCAAGGAACTTTTGGACAATTTGAAATCACAAGATTTTACCGAAATCAACAGCTTAAAAACTTTCGACTTTTCAACTTTATACACAACCATTCCCCATGTTAAACGAATGTCCAGGCTTTTTGATATTATAACAGCTGGTTTTTCAACAAGAGGCCCATGGGCTTTATAGGTCACCTGAGTATTATGTAACAAATTTCCAACAACTGAATTGTTCGTGTTTTAAATCAAAAGCCATGAAATTCAAAATTTTGAAAGAGGCACTGTTGCTTATCATAAATATACACTTAGCTTGCTTAGTTTGGTTACTTAATACCCAGAGGTAGATCAGAGTAACAAAGAGAAAATGCATTCCCACTTTATAATCAGTTGTGCACCCCACCCCACAGGAACCACTTACCCTGGGGGCACATATTTCAAAATTCTGGAAATTTTATCATAAATTTTATTTCATCATAAATGGTTGATTAATACCAAAGAGCAGATTTCAAAGCATTAATTTATTTTCAGACTATGTAACCCCCACTCCCGTCCCACGTACCCCGACCCAGGGGCCCTGAAAACCATTTTGGAAGAGGAACCTTTCATCATCATTAATAAGTACTCAGAACATTGGCATAATACCCTAACCCCAGAACCTCCAACCCAGGGGCCATGAAATTCACAATTTTGGAAGAGACATTCTTGCTCATCATAACTCTGTACTTGGTTTGTTTGTTTAATACCCAGGAGCAGAGAAGGTGATTTTCAAAGATTTTATTCATTTTTCACTATATAATTAATAGAGTCCTACCCTAACACTAGAACCCCTGACCCCGGGGCCGTGAAATCCACAATTTTGCATTGAAGAGGCAGCCTTATTAAATATAACTATGTATTTGGTTGGTTTATTAAATACCCGGGAGCAAAGAAGAACATTTTCAAAGAAATACAAATGCATTTACACTATATAATTTATATAGCCCCACCCTAACACCTAAGCACCCCTGACCCTGGCCATGAAATTCACACTTTTGGAAGAGACAGTATTATTCAATATAGCTATGTACTTATTTAATTTATTTAATGCCCAGGAGCAGGGAAGAAGATTTTCAAAGAAATAAAGCATTTTCACTATATAATCTAATTAGCCCGGTCCTAGCACTAGAACCCCTGACCCAGAGCCATGAATTTCACAATTTTAGTAGAGAACTCAATGCTGGTTACAATCATGCAAAAAGTTTAACTGCTTGATGTCCAGGAGTAAAGAAGAAGATTTTTAAATATTGCATTAATTTTAGTTGTTTTGGTCCCACCCCTCAGGCACCAGGGGGGAAGGATCATGAAATTCACAATTTTTGTTCACCTTCACCCATAGATACTTTATCCCAACTTTGGTTGAGTGGTTGCAGAGAAAATTAAAGCTGAAAATGTTAACGCACGACGCAAGACGACGGACAAAAACGAATAGCAATGGGTCACCTGAGTTTACTCTGGTGACCTAATAAAAATGGAACTCGTAAAGTTACATTCTGATTGTACACACAAACTCCACAAGTACACTGTTTTAATATCATTTTTGAATTTTTCAAGGACAACCTTTCTTTATTTGCCAAAGCTTAATATTTTATCGTACTTGTATTAAATTTTCAACACTTGCATTCTGGTTATGGTTTATTTGTTATACATATTATAGTCTTAATATAAATATTTTACATTATGAAACATTAAAAAGCAATCAGTGCATTGGTACATAGAATCTAATTAAACCAGCAATGTTTTTTTTTACTTTGAACGGATTTAAGCAAAATGCACAATCTATTGTGAAGTTGATATCAAATCCAAATTACATTCTTAATATATAGTCATGAATATTGACATCATTTGGGAAATTACATGAATAATCATTTAATGCGTAGAAAATTTATCCAACGTACCGAAAGATATATTAAAAAACATAATGAAAAGTGGAAGTGATGGTTATTTAACGGGTATATAAACAAGTCTCCCCAGTAGTGCAGTGAATCACAAATGTATACACTGGAAGTTATGGCAAGATTACTTTTAGGATTTCTGATTAATAAAAACGGCCAGCCGGAGATAATTTCACTGAACTTGAAAGGCTGGCAAAGATTACGAGAAGTAGATTACATTTCATTGTATAGACTAAAATATGTGTTTAAATATCCAAAGGAAACGTTAAATATGCGATTAAATTTTCTTTAATAAGATATATCATTTCACATTTCTTTTCGGAGAGTGCAGGAGGTAGTAATATACAAAAAAGTTTATCCTATAAGCTCTTTAAAGAGATTTTGTAGGTAAAATGCACGCATAAGAAATTGCAATAAATCTTATTTCTTCACCCAGATATTTTTGCTAAGGATAATTTTGTTTGTTTGCGTAATATCTTCGACATTTGGCATTGGAAAGCAATTAAAAAATGTTGACACAAGGGCTGTGCACCACTATTTTTACTGGTACGTGTATATGGTAGTGTTCACTTTTTTTTTTTTTCATATTTTGTCCTATGAATAGCTAAACACCTTAACCATTCCATCACTCTGAACTATTACCATCCGATTGCTTCCGCTTACTCTTATTGCCACGGGTTTTTCCAACGCGCTCTCTATTCCGAGTACATGTCTCTGAAAAGTACCATCACTGGCCAGCAACTGTACGCGATTGTTACCGAAATCGGCTACAAAGAGGTTCCCAATCTTGTCCACGCATGCGCCCTGTGGTTTCTTCAGGCTATTTGGGCCATCAGGTTTGTACCGGAAAACGACTCTTCCGTTATGGTCCATGCAGATGACAGCGTTTTGACCGACATCTGATATGATTACAGTTCGATCTGGTGTTGCCGATACGTATCGCGGCTCGTTGAAAAGAACCCGATCACCTGCTCCACCCCCAAATGATCGCAGGATGCTTCCGTCAAGATGGATTATATCAACTATCTGGTCACGCACTGACGAGACAATAAGAAAGGCATCTTTTTCAGAGTAAGAAATTCCATCGTATTGTCGTTCTGTCTTTGCGCGTTTGATGAGCTGCATGGTTTTTCGCGTGGCCAGGAAGATGACGAGCTTGCCTATCATTGTAATGGCGACATCATCTCTGTTCCCGCAGGTAGTGATGTCCCTTGGCTCGTCCTCAAGCTGAACGTAATCAACCAAATCTCCAAACTGCAAAGAAACAAAATAGAATTACCAATTCACATACCTCGTAAAAGAAATTAAATTCAATTTGCCTTTCATTTTTCAAAACATTGAATTTACAAAGATTCATGGAGCTAAAAATTTATTAAAATCCGTCTATTTAAAAACATCATTCATAAGGATTCGGCGACGCAAGTTTCTTAAAAACTTGAGTTAAATAAAAGGTTGATTCTTAACAATTTCTCGCATAAAGCATTCATTCAACATTTTAGAAAGGTAGTGCAAAATTTATTGCAAAATTGATAGACAAAATTCCATAAGACAATTTTTACTTTACAAAATATGTCTACCTGTCAGATATTTAACTCAGTTTGAGGTGCATAAAAAACATTTACGATCTGCCAATAAAGTAAGGCCATTCCAAATCTTTTTCACGTTTGTTTAATGTTCACTCATTTTTCTTTTCAAAGTTATACCTACTTTCTTGCTAAAAAATATACAAATTTGATAGTCGAAAATGAAAAAGATTTGATTTCAATAATCTATTTTTTTTTTAAAAATAAGAAAAAGATTTAAATTTCAGATATACCTTATATGACATTGTAGAGAAATATTTAGAGAAATGTTAGAAAGACCTATTTTACAGGATAAAAATTTTAGGGCAATTTTTTTTTATATGGGGGTGTCAAAAACCAAGGCGCACAAGGACGCTTAACATAAAAAAAATCTGGAATGGCCTTATGATACACCTACTCTCCAATTATTACCTTACTGAACTTCTGAATGCGCTTGTTCTTGCAGTCTGTAACAATTATGTCGTCGGATGAAGTACAAGTGACACCCCAAGAGTTAATTCCTTCGTCAGAATCTCCCTCATCAACAATTAGATCTCCAAGTCTTTCAAAGCTTTCGATAAAACGCTCAACTGTTTCGTCCAAGACGAATTCTATTCGGACGGAGGGAGCTTTTTGTTCTGTGTTACCAATAGCACCCTGGCAAGAATCTAGCTTTTTCCGAACTTGGTTATATGCTAGCAGTATCTCGACATCGCTTCCGTAACGTAAAATTGTCTGCATCCTATCATTTGCAGCCTTTATTGATTTCAACCCTGATTTTCTAGGCTCGATGCGATCTTGTAGTAGCCCTTTAGCTTTTTCTGCTTGCAACTGGAGGTTCTTTATTAGACTTGACTGATACTGTCGAACTCTATTGCAAATGGAGTCGCAGACAGTGTTGACTCTCTCTTGAGCTTCATGAATGCTGCTTTCTAATGTTCTGTCTGGCTGACCTATTCCACCTACATTCTCTACGGCCATCTGTAACTTGTGGAGTCTGGTGACAACGTCGTTGACATCTGCCCTAGAAGTTAATGCGTCTGCAACGGTGATAACATTTTCACATCTGCGATGAGACACAGCCATGCACTGAACACAAAGGGGTTCTCGACAGTCGACGCAGAACAAGGTTATGAGTTCATTGTGCTTTGAACAAGGGACTTTGTTCTTTTGTTTCATCAATGATTCCAGGGGAATTTTTCTCATTTCTGCAATAGCTAGACAAGAGTGTCCTGCCGTTGTTTTTCCATGAAGGTGGACCTTGAGGCATATATCGCAGAGGGCATCATTGCAATCCATACACCAGTGTGATGCCGGTGTCTTTTCCTCTCTCCTATCACAAATATCACACTCTTTGCCCTCACACATTGCACTTTGTAACTCTACTAGTTTTGTTAGAAAGAGATCGTCTTGAAATCCGTGAGCGTACTGCCCAGGTAGTGCTCCAGAAGGAATCTCACATTTCTCCTCACACACTGGGCATGCAAAATGTCTCTGTCCATTTTGATTCAATGACTTGGAAATATGGTCCTCTAAGCATTGGCAACAAAAACTGTGAAAACACGGTAGCACTTTGGGCAAGTTGTAAATATTTTTGCAGATAAAACATTCAGCTATCGGGTCACAAACTTTCTTTTCTTGAGTTTCTGGGGTTGAATTTTCAGAGTGGTCTTCAGAGTGGTCAACTCCATTCGTTAAAGGTGTTGAAACCTCCGCCTCCTCCTTTGGCTCCATTTTTATCAACTACTTCACCTGAAAGTCATAGAAAGCATATTATTAGAAAAAGGCATTTAAAAGTTAGTACTTTTTCATTCCTAGATTTAAGTAGATTATCTTAATAAGGATTGGCAAGCTAAGTCATTGTTACGCATTTTTAAATCTTGCTGCTCTCGAAAAAATTCCTCAGACCGATTACTGAAGCAATAAAGATATAACTCACTATAACTTAATCTAATGTTGTTTTCTGTCGAACCTTGATATTTTGAAACACTTAGAATTTATCTCTATTTAAGACAACAATAGTACCAGGTCGGGGCTTCTCTGTAAATCACATTCACTCAATAAAAAGTGGCAATTTTGAACAAATTTCTTTGTTTCCGTGTGCAAATATTTTGTGGAGTAATCATTTTGGTGAGCAATGGTGATCAGTATAAGTGGATTACAGCCACTAGCCTGTAGATCGAGATTCCTGGCTAATGCCTTTGGATTTCAACAATACAGATATTTAATCACCTGTCATATTTACATTGAGATATTTCTATTTGTTATATTTGTCTGTGAGCCAAAAGCTTTTGAGCTCTTTGCCTTTCTAACTTGTATGATAAAATATTTAAGGTAGAAAATAAATTTTAAAGAAAATGACTTAGGAATTTAGATTTTGCTGGAAAACAAAATATGTGTGATCAAAAAATAAAATAGGAGATGCACAATGGCAATATGTAATAAAGTTCTGTAAAATATAAATTTCAAATTTGAAGAAAAAAATTGAATTCTTTATTAAACAATGTTCATCTAAAAAGATTAGAGTAAATATATTAATTTAAATATGAAACTATACAGTGTATTTGTTTTATCATTATGACTGCGAAGATTTATTAAACATTTTATGCACCCATAATAGAAGATTCGTGGGTATATATAGTTTTTGCTGTGTTCGGCTGTCTATCCGTCTATTTTCCACAAAAAAAAACATTAACCTTGCCAAAACTTTTGACTGGACCAGGTTTGAACTATTGCTGTTATATTTCACGTATGTATTCCTTATGATAAAACTGTTCTTCGAGTATACCAACAAATTAGACCTCTTGACCTTGGAGTTTGACCAACTTTTGCAAAAACTTGAGAAACCTTTACCTTAGCAATTACTTTTGAAAAGTTGATGAACTTGTTTCTAGGGAAACAATACTTCACCTGTGTATTCATACCAACAAAACATTTCCTATCATATAAATATTTTTGACCTTGTTCCTAGTTTGAACCACTTGGAAAAAACTTTGCCATAACTTTTTAACAGTTAGTACCAGAGCTATTATCATATTTCTCCACATGTATTTTTAATTCTTTCCTTTGGATGCCAAAACGTTTTGCCTTAAGTCATGCCCTTGACCTTTGAGTTTGACCTACCTTTAAAAAATCACTTAAACATTGAATATAGATTTTGAACACTTGGTGATTGAGTTAGAATATTTTATAGGTACATTCATCGAGACGAGTTTTTTAATCTATGGGTAATACTTTTTTGAACTCTAAACCTTGACCGTGAAGTTTGACTTAAGCTTTCATTTGAGAATCTTCAACTTTCGTCATAAGCTGTCGTACTTGGGCATCAGTGCTTCACAAACACATTAAATTGTGGTTCCCTGCATGCTTTTATTTTTTGCTAAATAACACTGCATTTAAAGGTTATCTTATTTGAAGTGAATATATATCTTAGACACTTAAAAATCCTTATGCAGTATATTTTTTTGTGCAATTTTGGATCTCCGCCATCAAAAAAGTTCTGATAAGCAACCCACGAGCTTTTCTTTGTAGAAATTACTTCGAATAACTTCTTTGTCATTGGATTTCCTCTGCCCGCAATAAAAATTTTAAGAAATGAATATGGCACACCTTTTATCAATTATGAATAAAACACATGAACCATGTAAACTTGTTTGTTCTATCTTTGTGTCATCGTTTTGTGCATTGTTTCTGTTGTGTACTCACTGAACTGTAAATATTTGTTTTAAATCAAAGGCCTTTTGAGGACTTAAACCAATCTGATGATATTCATGCTTGGTCCTGTTAAACCAAAGTACAAGCACAACTAGGTGTTTAAATAAAAAAAAAATGCCAATGTTACACTAAATTACGCGAGAATTATCTTTATATATTTATAAAACTCCATTCGTAACCTACAGGTTTGGTAAATGGGGTATTTTCATGTTAATGTACACTGCTAATACCGTATATTATTCATATAATTCAAAGATTTTAATCATTATACACACGATTTAATTTCATAGCCCCCCCCTAAAAAACTATGAAAAATTTCATAGGCAAACCTTTTTTTTCGGCAGTCACTCATTTGAACTCTTATTTGCAGGTATATATAGTAAATGAAGATCGATACTTAATTAACTGAAGCCAGCCTTATATACATCTATATAATGGACAAATGTAGCATATCTTCTCAATTAGATACCTTTAATAATTAATAACTATGGATTCAGGTATCAAAGTAATGAGTGAATTCCGTTTCTGTATCCCTCTACTTGTACACTAGGTTTCAGTTAATGCTTTGATTTGACTTGTGTGCAAAATTTCAAGATCAATGTTGTCAATTTAGAAAACGATTACGATAAGCTTGTCGTTCAAGGGAATGATATATTGTGTTTTATAAGCACGACTTCAAAATATTTCGGTTTTTTTCAATGTTGTATATTAGAATTGAATTGGATTGATTTGGCGATATATAATATAGATATAGTCAGATATATACAATGCAATAGAAAAGAGTCATGGCAAAGTCTTCTGCCCGAATGCATACTTTCAATACCGACCTTCCAGTTGTCATGAAATTGGAAAACTTCCAAACACATGTGAAAGGCCTTCACTTATTTGGCTGAAACTTCTCCAATAAATACAGGAAATACATACCTACCAAACATGTCCTCTGAAGAACTCATAATGAACCACACCTAAAAAATTATCTTAGCGATTTTTAAGGACTTAGAAGATTGAACTGATTGGATGTTGGTTGTTGAACATGATAACAAAGTAATCAGGTCTTTAAGTTACTGAGGGTTCAAATTTCTTTGAACAAGTAGAAGATACATAGCTTATTCAATGTGACACTGTCCTGGGCAGCTATCTTTGAGACTTAGTTCAATAACCACTCAATGACCCAATGTATAATCAAACCATGTATACAATCCTGATTGACATTTCTAGACATTGGTCCGTTTTAAAATATGTGTAATTCGTTTTTCACGTTTTAAATTATTTCTCTTTATGAGACTTAAAGCACATACTTATAAAGGTTTAATGATTATCCTGGTGCAAACAATTGAGTACAAAATAAAAATCTTATCGATGAATTGCAATAAAACTGTCATTCATGGCACTACAAGCCAGAACAGGCTGATAAAGATGTAAATCTGTTTGTCTGAGGAGAAAATGTTAAAGTCTTATATAAAATATTTTTTTTTATAAAAGAGGACCATTCCACTTCATTGTCATTTAAACATTAATTTATAAGTAGATGTAAATCATTCCTACTTCAATGAATATTTTGCAAATCAAAACCCAACTTAAATTTAGGTCATGAGCAGTTTCTGTTTAAGAGAATCCCTTTACAAAAGATTGAAAAGAAAATGACAGGGGGGTTCAAGACCATACTTGACATTTTTTTGAATCCAATTAACCCAATATGAAAGCTTATTATGTTTACCGGGAGTTCAGGAACGTCAATTCAGTGAATGATGAATACCAGATTTAAAGAGAGTCGAAATTCTGTGGGATGTTCGAGTATGCTCAATCTTCACCTTTAAAATTAAACGTGTCCCGATCAATAAAAGCTAACACATCTGTCTTCGCATCTACACAACATTGCTTTGCTTTTCAAAATTTAAACGCTCACATAATCTTTTTAGATATTTTTGTCAAATGTAAATAGAAATGAGCATGTGTGTAAGGGGAAAATTTAGGTAAGCACACACCTGTGATTTACTGAGATAGCAGAACTTAATAGCAAGAACAAAAAAATTGAAATCTTTGAGTCGTTTTAAAACAAATCGATTTGAAGATAAATACTTGAAGTGAAGTCTTCATCTGAGAATACAATTTTGTTAATGAAAAAATAAGTCAATAAATGTCTCCTTACTATTGGAACATAATGTACAAAACACAGAACATCCGTCTCTAGTAAAGGCAAGTAAATAATAGGCAAATTGGCTTTGAACAGTTCGTATTCACTTAAAGTGAAATGTCGCAACGGTAATAGATTTATCGAAATTTGCACATGGTCTAACAACAATAGAATAATGGTAGTGGGCACTACAGGTAATGGACGTTTCGCATAAAAGGGGAAATTGGATTTATGCGTGTGAAGAAAAACGAAGCTGAACACATATGAAATCTCTTATAATGTTTTCAGAGTAGTACGAAACGCTACAGAAAATTGAAGAAATACATGCTTTTATGAATCACAAACTTCATCAAATCTTTAGTTTAAAGAAAATAACAAAATGTAAGCATAAAATTTTAAATAGACGTACTTACGTACAGTTTTCAGTCACATTTGTTTATATACATCTTCAGTCGTGGATATGGCCGTGCACTGTGCCATTAATAAAATTACCGTACTCACATGTCACAATTGATAATTATTGCTGCATTTTAACAATACGTACCTGTTAAGTTCTCAAGATCACGGAAGATCACTCCTAGATATTGCTGCTTTTGATTCTTATCTCGTCATCTCAAACTCAAATCTGTGGTTTAAAATTCAAAACCACAGTTTCAATAAATGTCAAAATTTAAGATATAGACCTTGACAATTGAAACATTGATCCTAATTAACTTGAACTAGATATTCGCGCCAAAATCATTGTCTTAGAGCAAGATCGTAGATTCCAACATACTCCTCTGGAGAATTAATAGTCCGCATTTAAACAGCATAGCATTGGACAGCTGTAGAAAATGTAGCTGTCAGTATTTGATAATAAGTTATGTACATACACCCCGGCACACCTTTGTACAAGACGTTCCACGATCGATCGCGCACAGGTAAAATCGATCAAGCTGGACCTATATTCCCTGGCGCAATAATATATCTAACAACATGTCTGAACAAATATTTCTTTACCTTGTATGCCCTGGTTATCATTGAAAATACACCATTCATTTAATTCGATGTTGGTCTTTGCAAGTTCATAAAAATATTTGCAAATATGAAGTTTATATAAAAATTATAGTTATCTGAATTTGTAAAATATAATTTGATTTCAGTATACGAATAGACTTTATACTCATAAACGCTAATTAGGTGTACTGTAAAATAAATAAATAAGAATTGTTCTACGGCATACAATTTATTCGGGCCATGATCAGAATGTTTTGTTCAAAGATTAAATGCCAAGTTCAATTCTGCGGTTGAATGGTATCAAATGCGAAGTCAGAAAATACCCGGCAAGAAAAATATTGGATTTAAATGATTATCTGTACATTGGATTAGTGACATGAAAGGCAGAAAGGACCGCGTACAGTTCTCTTATGTTTAAATAAAAAAATCCACATTTTCGAAATAACTGAATGAAAGTCATTTTAGGACTAAGAAGACGCCGATCAGGATCAATCTTTTGATCTTTTTTTTTTTAGAAGAAGTCAAATTCCCTAAAGGCTGGATCATCCACTTTAGATAAATGTTGTTTATTTGTTCATGCAGATCTATAAAAGGAAATGTTTGAAAGTACATGTACTCTACATAAACCTGAAAAATATACTCATTATCGAAAAACCTCCTTTGACGTTTGGGAAGAATGTAAACTCTATTTGATAAAGTATTTTAAACATTCTTTAAAGCCGTTTGGTCCGTTTCTAATCGCTAAAAAAATATATTCGTTTTTCTTCTTGAAAAATAATTGTCTATAAATTATTTCAACTTTTGTCAAATTATATCCCAAGTCTTTTTCTTTTTAAAGATATCAAAATTCAAAAGTTAAAAAAATAATTTTTGTTAGGTCACACAAAAAATAATCCTTTGTTTACATTGTGTGAAATCACCTTCGAAAAATTAAATTTATCGCTTACATGTATAACTCATGAAGAACAAACCCGAGCATTTTTTCCACAACAAAGTGTACACGGGCAATATTCTACGTTACTAAACTCCCTTTTTAAAAAAATCTTTAAATATATCTGATTTTCCTTTATTCTGTAAATATGCATATTAATATAAAAATTACTATGGATTATATTCAGTTAATTTCTTAATTTTTTAAAGATATACCATGACTTAGGATTCTTCTAATGGAAAAAAATACTCGGATTTGAATTCTCTTCATAATTAGATACAACCGATAAAAGTATTTTTTTCAAAGGTGACTTAAAAACAGATCTTAACTTCCCGTCAGGAACTGCTGTTTGTCAACAAGTTTTTGGTCTATGTTTTCCATGTAAGGATTGTTGTAATAAACTATTAAATCAATCTTATAATTAATTTTTATATATTATCTATGTAATGACATAACTTTTATTGTTTAAGATGATATGTGCCTGTTTCGGATGAAGCGGCTTCAATTTGATTCTCCCCTGAGATTCAAAAGTGAGACCAGGACTACCTATATATTTTTTTTTGAATTAACAATGTTTGCCTTAAGGTAATTTCATCCTCATAATTTTATGAAACTACATTTATTTTCATTGAATATAGTTTGAATTAATGAATAATATCAAAAAATATATGGGTTGTAACATTTTTTAAGAGGTAAGAGAATATTAAACAAAGGAAAATGCCTGAATACATGAGGGGTTATTGTCCTTAGCAGCATTTAAAGGATCGTATAATTGATTAAATAAACAAGTATACTTTTTATAATTTTAATTAACAATTATTTGCTTTACATTTATTGAAAAGCATGCATTCATCAAAAATATATTTTTTTATAAAGAGTACGAGTTTAGATTAATTACATTATTTCAAAAACCTATGACATCACCAGAGAGTGGAAATGACTTAATTGCCATTTTTTTCAAAAACCTGATTGAGAAATCTTTTTCTTAAAAGTTCATATAAAGAAATTAAAAAAAAAGTTTTTCGTCAACGTCTTCAAATATTCAGCAAATATGATAATTTTGACGGAAATTTTCTTGGGTAAAAGATTGTACCTTGCAACCGATCAGAAAAAGTATGTGAGATTTTCTTAATGATAGAATTAAGCATAAACCTCACACAAATCAAATACTTGCAGGAAAGACAATTATTCTGTGTGTTATTGTCACTAATTCGTTTTATATTTTCTTTTTTTTAATCGAATTTAAAAACCAGCACTAGTTTGATTTTCAACGTATTATTATTCAGCATCGCTTTTAATCATATTAATGATATCATTGTAGCATTTTGTTGGACCATCTAGGGCCCAGATAAAGTCGAGATGTTCCCACTCTGGTATGTTCTTATTTGATCTAACGTTTTTTATCTGCGGGAGCAGACTCTTTACATCTGTGGGATCTGCCAACCAATCCTGTCCTCCAGAAAAAATGGCTACCGGTGTCTCCATTTTAGTGACGTCATACAGTGGAGGTGTCGTCTTAAAAAAGTTAATCATGGAATTTTGAAATACTTATAGTATTTACATGCAATATCTAAAAGGCTAAAATTGCAGTATACGCTTGTATGCACATGTTGACCCATTCTTTAAATTCCAAAGAATTCATGAAATATTTGCACATTCTTAAATATATCTATTTAAATAAAAAATAAATATAATCATTATCTGAAGTCCAAGCCTACCTGGTTGTAATGTTTCATATTTTCAGCAGCAGAACCATAATCAAACATCAGAAATTCGCCAGACAAAATCGCCTGTAAATGATTTTTTTTTCTGTAGGTGGATATCCTCTTGCACAATGTGTAAGTATAAATGTCTTTTTCAAAAGAAAATTTTACAGCATAACCCATACTTTTTGCTTTTTATTTTTTTTAAACTGCTTAATTAAGATGATTTAAAGAATTCAAATTCGCTATGTAAAACGAACTTCATCCTCAAATCAAAATAAAAGAAATAAATCTACTCTAACCTGACTATAATGAATGATATTCTGAACTGACGTCCCAGCCGGATGATCCCGTACATATACAGGTATACGAGACTAAAAAAGTAAAAACAGAAACCAAATGAAGCAAGATATTAAACAAGATATTAAAACATGCCAGGTCGTGTGAATTGGATACCTTAGCAAACATTTTTATCAAATGCTAATATTTTTTGTAATAAATTATTTTTGACATTCACTCAATATGTAAGTAGAAGTCAAACAGTATTCCAAAATTTATCGGCTAACTGTAATGTTACTATACTCTGAATGTTTTATCAACATTTTTATTCCGATATCACGAGTTTCTTTATCATGGATGTATGTCTGATGAAGAAAATTAAAGTCTTAAATAAAATTTGGTATATGGTTTCTAATATTATTTAATCTGTTTCCCTTATTTGTTGTTTTTGAATGAGTAACAGCTTATTAGAATCGTTTCGTGCTATGCTGGAACACTGTTTCAAATATGCGCTTAGTTGTATGTTCGCCAACCACGTGTTTTTAGAAAATACTTTGGGTTTACATGTTAACTTCTATACAACGATCGTTCAATAAATAATGCAAAATCTCATCTAAAAAATAAGAAAAGTATGTAATGCATATACTTAATAGTTTCAATCCCTCAAGGTAATCCCTGTAACATGAACTTTACACAATGCCTTATGACCAGGAACCCTCAGCATACTCATCTTTTGGGATGCTCAAAGACACTGATAAATATTACATGACATATCTAATATTGTACAATTTTCTTTTTCATGCTTCTCTCGAGAAGAAGGAAATTTTCCTATATACATATTTCTATTTAAATTTGTCGATCCCCCACTGTGGCCCGACCCTATCCCCAGGGGTATATCATTTTAATAAATCTGAATTTACACTTCCTGAGGATGCTTCCATATCAAAATGATTAATCATAACTTTGCAGTTCTTGACAAGATATGTCCTATTTACTCCTATGTAAGACTTTGATCCCCAATTATGGCCCCATCCTATACTATAGTATCCAGGGGTCAGGTTTGAACAAACTTGAATCTACACTACTACTTGTGGATATTTCCATATAAATATGACAAACCGTGATTCTGAATCTTTGTTCTTTGAATCTACACTACCTGAAGATGCTTCCACATAAATATTTCCAATCAGGACTATGCTGTTCCTGAAAGGAAGGTTTTTAAAGATCTTTCCTACATATTTCTAGAATGTAAAACTTTGATCGTCCATTGTAGCCCTGTCCTATCCCCGGAGGTCATGATTTAAACGAATTTGAATCTATACTATATGTGGATGTTTCCATATGAGTTTCATTTTTCCTACCCTGTGCTTCTTGAGAAGATCATTTTTCAAAAAAGATGCTATTATTTTTTTTACTATTTTTCAATCATCTCTCCTTGGAAGAGGGCATGTCCCTTCATTTGAACAAACTTGAATCTGCTTTACCCAAGGATACTTTGTGGCAAGTTTTGTTAAACCTGGCCGAGTGATTCTCCAGAAGAAGTTGAAAATGTGAAAAGTCTAAGGACGGACGATGGACAAAATGAAAAGTTCACTTGAACCTTAAGATCAAGTAATCTTAAAATGTATTCCGGTATAATTGAACAAGTCTTTTTAACACAGTTTTTTAACCGGAAGTAATGCTGTAAAACAAACATTTTTGATTGATTGATTGTATATTGTTTAACGTCCCTCTCGAGAATTTTTCACTCATATGGAGACGCCACCACTTGCCGGTGGAGAGCTGCAAATTTTGTCCTATACTCGGCACTTAGGGCCATTGAGCAGGGGGATCTTTTTGATGCCAGCATCTACTGTTACACGGGACGTCGGTTTATAAGTCTGATCTGAAGGACCGGTCTCCACATCCCACAGTGGGATTCGAACCCGCGACGTAAGGATCAACTCCTTACTCTAGAGCAGTTAAGTTTTGGCTTAACTCAACTTACATGTATGTTATACAATATAAATTAAAAACTTTTATCCAATCAAATGATGTGTTACAACTAAAATTAAATATACTCTCATTTTAAGAGCGTGGTAAATTTCTGAGATTTTTTTTTAAAATCATTGTCCCCAGCATGGGGGTACTTGTATGTTAGAACAATGAAAATTCAACAATTGAAACAAATCAAGATATGAATAGCTCTCACAATGAACAGCGAAAATATCTCTGACATGTGTAATGGTTTGGGCGTGGATGCGGGCCTAAACAGCTCAATAGGTAGAGTACCTGTCTAGCCATCCTACATGTAGATCTGTTGCCGCCGACCAATCCTGGACTTGCAGGTGAAAGTCCTGCCAGGGGCTGATTAGAACTATGGTTGATTCTTCCAGGGCGAAGACAGAGAGCAATGTAATGATATTTGCCGGGGATACAGTTTTGGGAAGCTCTCTCGGTAGAGCGCCTGACTATTGATGCAAGGGTCTCGGGTTCGATTTCCGGTCCAGCAAAACATTTTCTACTTTCCAGTTACAGATTTGGTGCCGTTGACCACCCCTGGACTTGCAGGTGAGAACGAAATGGTTTTGGCTGTGTATATCGGCCTGACCATGGGTAGCTCACCAGGTAGAGCACCTGACTAGTGATGCAGGGGTCCCGATTATGATTCCTGGTCGAGTCATATATTTGTCTTTGTGATACAGATTTGTTGCTGCTAACCACCCTTGACTTACAGGCCAGTGAAAGTCCTGCCATGGGGGGTAAGAAGAAATCTGGGGGTCTCTTCCAGAGCAAAGACATTTTAAGAAGTAAGGATGTAATGGTTTTGAACATGTTACAAATTTGGTGTCGTTGACAACACATGGACATGCAGGTGAAAATCCTGCGAGAGCCTTATAAAAAAGGGTTATGTCTTCCAGGGCGAAGACAATTTAAGGAGGGAGGTATGTAATGGTTTCGGGTATAGGCCGTGGAAGCTCTCTCGGTAGAGCACCTGACATGTACTGATGGAAATTAACAAGGGAACGCACAATTACTTTACGTAATGTTTAGCATGTTTCATATGTTCGAGGCTCTATGTAGCTGTTGTAGACTGAAAATGTTGAAGCTTACTTTACCTCAATAAAAAACTTTGCTATTGAAAATTGATTTCCATGATTTTCATGCATGATTACGCCCATTTCACACTATAATAGACGACAATTGTCAGTATACCCGTACTTTGAGAATCATGCCAAGGGAATACCTTTCTGAAAATAAAAAATGGCAGGCTATCGAATGCATTAACGGTGGTAAATTAAAATGCCAGACTGCTAGACAATTTAACAAATCAGAAAGCGTGATTTCACGTCAGTGGAACCGGTACCGCCAGACAGGGAACGTGAAAATTAGACCAGGTCGTAGTTCCAAAGGTAAAACAACAGCTTGTAATGATCGTGAGCTGGTGCTCCTTTCCCTGCGTAACAAAATTAAACCAGCATAAAAAATAAACTCTCTGAGTTCAGGGCAGCAAGAGGAATAAAAATTTGTGACCGTACTGTCAGAAACAGACTTACAGCAGCGGGCCTTAAGTCACGTCGTCCTGTTGTAGGAGTGAGGATGACTGCTGAACACAGGCGTCTCAGAAGAGAATGGGCTACACAACATCGAGCAAGACAATTTCGACATTGGCGCTATTACCATGTTCAGCTATAAATCTAGGTTCAATTTTGGACTTTGAAGACGGTCGAATTCGCGTTTGGCGACGCCTTCGTGAATTTCATCATCAGTGTACCATCAAACATAATTCTTATGGTGGATCGGTAATGGTATGGGGCGGCATATTCTACGACCACAGAACTGACTTTGTTCGACTGGATGGAAGGGTGATTGGTGTCCTTTACCGAGATAAAGTGTTGCGGCCTGTTGTTCTTCCTTTCCGCCGTAGAGTGGGCGTACATTTTGAGTTTCAACAGGACAATGCTCGACCTCACACGTCTCACGTCAGCAGGGATTTACTGACGTAGAACATCAGGGTGTTGCGATGGCCATCCAAAAGTTCTGACCTCAACCCCATTGAACACCTCTGGGACGTTCTTGGACGTCGGGTGAGGGATCGGTATGCATCACCCCAGACAGTTGATGCCATGTTCCAGGCTCTCCAAGAAGAGTAGTGCGCAATTCCTCGAGCTGAGATACGAAAGTTGATACAGAGTGTTCCACGACGGTGTGAGGAAGTCATCAGAAAGCAGGGAGGACATACCAGATACTAAAATTTAACTTGAGATGCACATATTTAATGAAATATACTTGATCAAAATCCCCTGACAATAAAGCAATTTTCACGATTAAATATGTGTTCCCTTATTAATTTCCATCAGTATATGATGCAGGGGTCTCGGCTCGGAGATGCTCAATTCCCGGTCCAGCAATACATTTTCTCCTTTCCTGTTACTGATTTGGTGCCCTTGACCCTGGACTTGCTAGTTTGCTTGATAAGCATTTCCGACAGTGGAAAAGCATTTTAAGTTTATATTGTAGGAAGTTCATATTGAAAGGATGATTTACGAACGGCTTAAACTGAAAAGTTTGTAAAAACTTATTTACTAAATACGATATATCATCAAATCATTTAAAGATAAGTATAGCTTTTAGTAAATGTCTGCCTTTCATTCTTTAAAATCACTTTATATAGAAATAATTAAGCACATTTCAAAATTATTTATTGCAGAAATTAGTTTAAATACTCTCACATACTACATTTAGAAACATTTGTTTCAGAGTGATTGAGAATTATCTCTCTTGAACCTGTTTTGCGACGAGTGAAGGCAACTAACCAGGTCTAACGAAATATACCACGACGTCAGAACTGTTGTTTTTGACACGGTAACTCAGTACAATAGATTTGCAATGATACAAAATAAATTCCCGGTCGGTCACCTATAAAGTAGAAAATAAATAACATAAGGAAGGAAATCAATAGTCCACGTTAACGCATTTTATACCTAGCCTATATTCTGTCCTATAAATCAAGAACCATATTTTTTTTAATTTGAAGGTTCCCAGCATTAATCTATTGTTTTTGTTCGGATGATGACCTTTTTCATGTCCTACCCAATGTCAATAGCTAATTTGAGACTTCACAGCTGCTAGTCTGCTTCTTCTATCTAGACATACTATCCTGGCTTTAGGAACACATGGCTTCCACGTAAAAACAAGCATCTGACAACTGGTCTGACATTTTTTCTTCTCGTTTTCTATATCAACTACATCATAACATATTTTAAAAATAAACTACGTAATTGAAACTATATGGGCTAGGAGAAAATGAAAGATGAGTGGAAACTAGAACTGTCTATAAACATTGCACACCCCTACTAGGCGATGACGTACTAGGTAACACCTACAGGTAAACATACGTAAACGGTAAACAGTAAGAGATGCTGCTCGTCTTCCTTCAAAACATTTTACTGTGAGATAAGGCTGTGAAAGTTGATTACTTGTTGACAATATAAAATGGAGGTTATATTCCATACCCCAGTTTAATTCGAATCAGAATCTCTGATCTGCTCACAAAAGTAGCAAAAGTCGTATGTAAAAGGATCAAATGATCAAATTCGACCGGTCAACAAGAATGCTTACTCCTCCTGGGCATCTGATCCAACCTCTTTAATTTTCTGGGGGTCCGTGTTTTTGCCTCTTTATTTTTTGTATTGCTTGCTGATTTTTTTAAAGATTGATCGCTTAGTGTCATTTCTTCACTTGTGTTGACAGTTTTCTACAGGGATTTATTTTTTTTTAATTACGGGTAATATATGATAAATCATTTTTATTATGCGCCCGGATCGATAGATCCGAGGCGTGTTTTTGTCCTATCTGTTTGTCTATTTATCTGTTTGTCTGCTGAAAACTTTAACCTTCGTCATAACTTTTGAACCTTGAGATTTAGAGACTTCATATTTGGTATGCATACTCCACTAATAAAGTTCTTTCAAAAGACACCAAGGTCAATGACCTTGTGACCGTGACTGTGACCTAAATGCTAAAAATAGCTTTTTCAAACTTTTGCATTAACTTTCGAAGCATAGGAGATAGAGACTTCATATTTGGTATGCATACTTCACTAATAAAGCTCATACAAATGACACCAAAGTCATTGACTTTGTGACCTTGACTGTGACCTAAATGCTAAAAATAGCTATTTTTGAACTTTTGCCATAAATTTTGAACCATAGGAGATATAGACTTCATATTTGGTATGCATACTCCACTACTAAAGTTCTTTCAAATAACATTAATATCAATGACCTTGTTACCTTGACTGTGACCTATATGTTTTAAATAGTTTTTTGTAACTGTTGCCGCCGGGCGCATAGTGTTTCATAAACACATCTTGTTTTCTTGTACAAACAAACTGTGATCTTAAAAATGTTCACGAAAATACAAATCTGTGAACAGGTCTTGAAACACGGATACCCTAGCAATTCCAAAGGTTTAATCAGGTGCCAACAAGTACTATAGTAAGCATCCCTTTAGACTGTTTCAACCTCCAGACGTTCTATGTGATGATCAGTTTCACGAAACATTCCGTCATCAAATTAATGGAAACGAAGCCATAATATATCTGCATCAAATACTTCAGCTAAATAACGCCCCAATGATAAGTTATATTTGTTAACAAGATAATCACAACGGCTATAAGATTTATATGAACCGCCTGGACTGTCTTATCATGACAAAATTAAATTTAAGATCTGCATTTATCATTATGTGATATGCTTTATTCATTCTTTTGTGATATGTTTTTTTTTCAGTTCGTAATATGCTTTTGTCATAATTTTCTGTACATTTGTCATTATGTGATGTGCTTTTATCACTTTGTGATATGTTTTTTTTTTTATTTCCCCGTAAACGAAGTTCCTGGGGTATATAGCTTTTGTCGTGTCCGTCCGTCTCTCTGTCTGTCTGTTTGTCCGCAATAACTTTAACTTTGCCCATAACTTTTGATTTAGTAGAGCTATGACTTTCATATTTCACATGTGTATTCCTTATGACAAGACCTTTCTTTATATACCACAAAATTTGACCTTGACCATGGAGTTTGACCTATTTTTACACAAAAATTCTAAACTTTTACTTTGGCCATATCTTTTGAACAATAGGAACCAGGACATTTATACTTCACATATGTATTCTTTGTTGAAAGACCTTTGATTGGATAGCAACAACCTTGACCTTTTGACCTTGACCTTGGAGATTTTCGTACTTGTGAAAAACTTTAACCTTGGCCACAACTTTAGAACGGTAATGGATAAGGCTTTCATACTTCACATATGTAATCCTTGTGAAAAGACCCTTCATTGGATACCAAGAACTTTGACCCTTTGACCTTGGAGTTTGACCTACTTTTAAAAAAGCAAACCTTGACCATAACTTTTAAAGGGTTAGGGCTAGTGCTTTCATACTTTACATATTTAATCCTTGTGACAAGACTTTTCATTTGATAGCAAGACCTTTGACCTTGACCTTGGAGTTTAACCTACTTTAAAAATTTTTAACCTTGGCCATAACTTCTGAACGGTTAAGGCTAGCGCTTCCATACTTAACATGTCTTCTATGTGGCAAAACCTTTCATTGGATACCAATTACCTTGACTTTTTGACCTTGACCTTGGAGATTTTTTTACTTCTTTTTGTAACAAAAAAAATTCAGCAACCTTCCTCGATCAGCATTTATTCGCACGCAGTATATGCTTTTGCATGTATAATAGAATAAGAGACAAAAACACCAGATGCAGGTGAGTGAGGGTACATGTATATTGGAAAGTTGTAACTTATTGGGAGTTGAAAGAAAAGAAGATGTCATCAAGTAAATCATAAAATTTAGTTCTTAGTTTGCAATCTATTTCTTTCTTAAGAACTCATCTTAATATGAAACAGATTTGTCAAGCTCTGTGGTGTCTTATATTCAGTTCAGTTTGATAATCAAATAAAACAATATATATGGAAGCCTTCTACATCTGTACCTATACTGGATGGCAACTCGAACACGTTTTATATTCGTTTGAATGTGACGTAAATGGCTCATTTAAGTACAAATAATCCTTGCCAAGATTCTATAAGTGCATTTTTACGATTAATATGTTTTATATGCTAAGTATCCAAGGTATATCCTTAATTTTTCTTTTCAGCATATTTTGCTTGCCCTCTCACTACACGGGATTAAAAAAAATTGGGTTGGTTGGTAGGTGGGATTTTTTACTCTAAGAAATTTCAATGTATTTTTGAAAAAAATCTACTTTCCAACATACATTTAATACATACAGTAAATTATCCTGGAGTTCAAAAAGTTTTGGGTCGGGCCATTTGTTGCCAGTCAGTCGGGAGAGGGCAACTGAACATTTTATTGAAGATTGTATACTTCACTTTTCATAATTCATTTTTTTTAGATTTCTTTTAAAAAGTTTTTTTGTTTTTACAACAAATTCAAATGTTCCATGAAAACTGTTGAATCTTGCTGTGAAATTTTGTATATATGTATATAGATAACATTTAATATTTAAAACAAATGGTGTTATTGCGTGTTTGAGTGAGTTGTGTCAAAAATTGCATTGTCTTTGGATTGGTCGTGGGTCAGTATCTTATTGAAATCTTTTTTTTAACATTATAAACCATCCATCATGAAATACCTGTGTAGTCTATTTCCATTTTTTTTTCTCGTGTTCATTAGGAAATATTCATTATTAAAATCAAAATTTTAAGAAATGATGTGACGCGGAATACCCCGGTATATTTTTGCTTTATTTTTTAAGGTGACAACTTACGATGTTGAGTTGCGCAGAATCGTATCCACCTAGAAGAAAGAGGATATTCTCACAAACGATGTCAATGGTCTTGCGTTTGCAGCTCTCTTGGGCAAAGAGGGTAAATAGGTCTTTGTTTGGCAGAAATTCATCTTTGCCTAACAGATAGGAAAGAATCTGAAACGATATTTTTACATTGAATTTTAAATTTTACTGTGTAGATTTGTCATTATTTTTCTCATGCTATTCTTACAAAATGTTTACGTACTAGTAAATGCACTCTGTACTTAGTTCTTAGTTAATGTACCAAGCTTTCAATACACACGTACTCTAGTGCTTACACATAAATTTGGCAATGCACCGTACACACTAGACTTGTGCACTTTTAAATGATAAATTCCATTATTACTTTATTATATGACATGGGGTGATTATTTCACGAGAAAGGTACATCATATGCTTAAATTTATGGACATTCATGAAGGATATAGAGATTGTTTATGAAATTTTCTACACGAAAAATTAATCTAATTATGCATGTTTTGATTTCAAATCAGGTTAATTGTACAAAGAAATGTTGATTTTCATTGAAATATATATATACGTGACAAAGCGTCAAACGAGAATAATTTATGACATATAAATTATAATGCTAAACATGTTATTTGTTATATTTAAAAAGCATCATAAAGATATGATACTTTTTCAGGACAGTGAATGTTCGATATGTTTAAGGTATATTCCGTTGGTTAACTATTTTTATCACTCGGTATCGACGAAATATTCTTCAGATTTTTTTTTAAATCCTGCAAAAATTTTTTTTACTTCCATTGAGTTGAAAATAAAAATAAAACATTTTGTATGCAATCTGCGATCCAATGCTTAGAAAAATTTAAATTTCGGGTGATAATTCTGATTACTAAAAAGTTACAGAAAAGTCGAGAGGTATTGTGAGCACTGGGCTCAAAAATGATATACCTGCTCCTTATTGAGTATAATGGCAAGTTACATTTCTGAAGTATGTAGGTAAAATATTAACGAATTTCATTTTGCGGTAAAGGAGGATTTGCGATAACAAAATTGATATCCCCCTTTTTTGAGTAAAATGACGAAGCCCATATTTTGTTAAGGGAAATCTCAAAAACGGTCTCATCATTTTAAAAAAAAGTGTAAATGACTCTGTTTAATAAAGCATCAATAAATTTTATTCGGTGGAATAGGAGAGTCGCAAATAAGAGATAGGTATGGTATTGCCACGCTAAATAAAGAATAGAAATGTCCGAAAATGCTATTGGAGACCTCAGATATCTTCGATCAAAACGTAAAATAGAAGGCGCATATTAGTTCTCTCTAAGGGTTGCATTTATTTGCATTCATTATTGTAAGCACCTTGCTTGAAGAAAAAAATATTCTTTGTCAACCAAAATGCTCATATAACAATGTTATGATATTTTATTTGCATTTCCATTTTATTCTTTAAAGGATGGGGAGGATTGTACCATGGGATTGAGATTTTTGTTTATCTTCCACTTTATTCATTTTTATTTCCGTCACAATATTCTTTGCAAAAAGGTTGAACACCCAGATGATACACTTGGATAAGTATTATAAACACAATAATTAATTTCAAAAATGATATTAACTAATTAAGACTTTTCTGACTGAAATGACGGTATGAAGAACGAAAAAGATAAACCACCTTGTTTGCCATTTAAGAATATAGTTATGATGTATTATGTGTTCCGTGCAAAAAAATTATTACCTCGTAATCTTTTGCAAATGGTGCTAAAAACCGAATCGGGCTTTCACATCCCGACAGATTCGCCACTGGAGCAAGGGCAAAGAAAGTTTTAACCTTTTTTCCAAGTTCAATATCTTGACTGAACCCGGCAAAGGCTTGTTCTGTTCCCTGAGAATGCCCGGCATAATAGATTTCAGTGTTTCCTGTTTGTTGTAAGATATATTCAATCATTGCAGGAAGGTCGTATTTTGCCATTTCATCCCAGCTACAAATAAAAAAGTGTAGGCTTTCTTTCTAAGAAATAGTTAAATTCATGGCACTTTGAAGTTAATGTCTTTGTGGTTTAAAATTAATATCTTGTTATTTGGGTGCAGTCATCTAAGATGAAGACAGCAGATGTTTTTCTTTGTGTCAATAATCTTAATCTAGAGTATGATCGTGTCTAGAAGGACTCTGTCAAGGCTGCTGGAATAATTGTGTACATAAATTCCAATTATTACGCCATAAAATTGATAATGTATTCCTATAGTCTACTTTCTCCGTCAATGAACCTAGAATATTCCAAGAGATTATGATAGACATTCCAAGAGATTGTGATAAAATAACGCAAGAAAGATACTTTGTTTTGTTTAAAGGGACATGACCACAATATCATTGTTAACATTTTATATTTCTATTTTAGTTTTTAAAAAGTCGGTGTAAAGAATCAATCTTACATTTGATATTCTTAGAATTCATTGACAACATCAACATTCTTCTTTACATCACGTAAATAAACTGTGTCAACAGAGCATGAGTTCTGTTAATATCAATGTTTACATTTAATCAGGAAGTGTTCGATTTTTTTCTCTGCACACATCACAGATTGTGCTTTCTACATTTCTGCTCTGAATTTTCGGGATTATATTTTTAATACTTTCATTAATACTCAAGAACATTTCTTCTCTTGTTAAATATAAATATTTTTTTTTCATGAAAATGTAAGGATATGTGTCAAACAATTGCGTCCCGAATTCGTAGTGAATTTTTCAGTAACGATTATAAATCGGTTTACTATTAAAGCTTTGAAAAGGTTAAGAAAATCAAAATCAATGCCTTCCACGTAATGTTGAAGCATCTACAGACACTGTTTCTTCGTATGACAATACTTGATACCTGAATTTCCAGAAGCGTGGGTCATTTGGACTTAGGTTGACATGTCCCCTTGAATACTTGTTTCCCCTGTTATTACCGAGCCATACGTCCACGCCTGCATCGGCTAGCATGAAACCTAGGCTTTCATTGGCCAAGTTCTCTACCCAGCAAGAGGAACAGGAAAGAAGTCCATGTTGTAGGAGTATTGCCGGTTTTTCTGATAAAAATGCAATTGTTCATCAATTATTTAAAAGTGTGGGATTAATCTAGAATTCTTTTTGGATTTTCCTGACTTAACTCGAGATTTCTTTACTATGTTTCAATGGAAATGGAAATTTTCAAAAGAATTTGATATATTCATTTCATTAAGCATTGCTCAAGAAATTTACGTTATAGCTGTACTATTTTTGGGAACATGGGGAAAATTTTATACACGTAGTACCGGGGTAATAATTTAACGAAAAATACATCAAATATATGTAAAGAATACGTAAGCATAATATTCTGATTTTGTTTATCTGCTATTAATGAACGTTAGAATTTTTTTCTATTTTACACATTTATAAAGATTTTGTGAACACTAAAATAAGTCAAACAGAAAAAAGAAAACCTACTAAACCATTGCTTTTATTTTCAGAAGACATTTTAACCGACCCATTTAACACGTCATTTAAATAATAAGTGCACCGTGAGCATTATTTTAAATGATTGTCAGAGGCTGAGCACAACTTTAATTTATACAAGTCATCTTCATGTTTTAAATAGTTTCATGTCATAAAGGCCTTCTGAAATACAAGGTAACGTTGATAAATAAATAAATAAAAACACAAAGACAATAACCGGAATGTGTACTTACGTTTACAAAGCAGTTTGCTACCAAACACATTATATCAACCAAATGAATGAAAATAATATAATTATATGGATTGAAATTACCTTTCAAAATTGGAGATTTTTTTCCATATGGAATTCGCTGTAGACTTAATATATATCCATCCTTGGTTATTACGTAGTGTTGTTCGCATGGATATCCTTTACTTGTAATCAGTTGTGTCTGAGGGAAAAAAACACTATGATCACACTAAGCAAATCCACATACATGTATTTTACAGACATAACATATTTTACAGACATACGTGTGTACATGTAGATCAATTAAATGAAAACTTCTATCTCAAATACTAGTATTTGCTCAATCGTCTTTCAGTAGTTTTACACTTGTTAAAGAAATGTTTGATGATTTGAGGTTTCAGATTCCTTTGATTTTCAAAAGGTTTTGCATCATAATGTGCATCGGGAAACTATTTCTATCGTTTAAAATTATGTCATTAGCTCACCTGAGCTGAAAGCTCAAGTGAGCTTTTCTGATCACCCGTTGTTCATCGTCCGTCCGTCCGTCTGTAAACTTTTCACATTTTCAACTTCTTTTCAAGAACCACTGGGCCAATTTTAATCAAACTTGGTACAAAGCATCCTTAGGTATAGGGGGATTTAAGTTGTTAAAATAAAGGGCCAAGTCCACTTCCAAGGTGAGATAATCAAGAAAATATCAAAATAGGGTGGAGTCATTAAACAATTTTCTTCTCTAAAACCACTGGGCCAGAAAAGCTGAAACTTATATGGAAGCATTTTAAGGTAGTGTAGATTCTAAGTTGTTCAAATCATGACCCCAGGGGGTAGGGCGGAGCCACAATAGGGAATCCAAATTTTACATAAAAATAAATAGGAAAAACTTTAAAAATCTTCTCAAGAACCACTGGGCCAGGAAAACTTATTTGGAAGCATCCTGGGGTAGTGTAGATTCTAAATTGTTCAAATCATGACCCCCGGGGGTAGGGAATCGAAGTTTTATTTTGAAGTATATAGGAAAAAACTTTTAAAATCTTCTTCTCAAGAACCACTGGGCCAGAAAATCAGAAACTTATTTGAAAGCATCCTTGGTAAGTGTAGATTCTAAATTGTTTGAATCATTTCCCTTTAGGATTGTCAAGGTCAAGATAGGTATTGCAAAGGGGAAATCTATTAAATGACAGAATGGCCAAAGTTACTCAGGTGAGCGATGTGGCCCATGGGCCTCTTTTTTATTTTTATCTGTCCATTGGCAACATATTTTTAATTCAAACGTTCTGGCTTAATATACTGATATAATTATGGGAAAAAAGAAGATATACGTATGACATGACGAGTAATCAAGCTTTTAGTCCATTGAAACCAAATGGGAACAGAGCAAACACGTGCCTCTGAAATTATCAGAGGTGGGATCGGGTACCAAGGAGAAGTAAGCATCCCCACACACAATTTGCTCCTCGACATGAACGGTAGCGTTCACGGTTGCTCAGTCATTAGAGCGCTCGCTCCGTGATCGGGAAGTCGTGAGTTCAATATCGGCCGCGACTGACCTAAGTCGATAAAAATGGGTAGCACTTTGAAATGAAAGTTGTCCTTTGGATGAGACCTTAAAAACCGAGACCTCGTGTCACGGAAGGCACAATAAGGATCCCTCATTGCTCAATGGATCTGAGTGCCGAGTAAAGGTCAAAATTTGAAGCCCTTCACCGGTATATGGTGACGTCTCTATATGAGTGAGATATTCTCGAATGGGATGTAAAACAATATACAATCAATCAATAAATCAATCCATATAAACGGGCAAACAAATAATTCCATAGATAATTCAATGTGAATAAATATGAGAGATTGTATTTGCTGAAAATGTAAATGTATCACTCATAAAATAATTGTGAAATACATGTATTGACTTTTATCGAGACTGTTGATATCCCTGTTTCATCAACTTATTTGTCAATAGTTTGCTTATAAAATCAAATGGCTAACTCCATATGCAAGCAATAATCACAAATGTTACATAAGTAATGTAAGTTGACGATGGAAAAGTTTATTATCAAGTTTTGTAAGTAGGTTATCATTAACGTTTAGCAAAATATCCAAATATAAAACAAATGTATCAAACTTTGTGGTATCTTTTATTTCGAGTTCAAAGGGTATATCGATTCAATGTAGCATTTTAAAAAATATTATTAATTAATAAAACATCGTATAAATACCTAAATGTATCAATGTTGAATTCAAAGCCTCATCAAGAAGTTTTTGAAAAATTCTTACTTCTTAATTATGAATACAAAAAATTGTTTGAAGACGACCTGGTCCATAGATATACTTATCATGGGAAATATTCGCCTCAGTTTTTTCTTCGCCATTTCGCCCTACTCACAAGTGGGTGAATAAAAATCGGGCGAATATAAAAAAGTACAATTTCTTAAACAAAATCAGACTGGGCGAATTAAAAACAGAGCAATATTAATTGCAAGTGTGAAAGGGCGAAAACTGCCCTGTATATAGTATGTGTTCAGTCCTTTCAATATAATTACTAACACGTGTATTTTACATATAAAGTGTGTAGAAATCTAATACATTTAAAAGACCATTACACGGAAAAGGGGTCAAAAGGTTCAAGCATGCGTTTTATTTTGACGTAACAAACGTTTAAAGCCGTGGAAGTGCAACGTAAAATTAAAAATCACGCTCACTTGGAACAGAACATGTTAGTTTGGCTATTCCATTAAGGTATGTCACTCGTGAAGTCAGTTATTTCAAAGATTCTTTTAAGATGAATAGATTAGATAGGTACTCATACAGCAAGACTCCAATTAAAATCGCAAAGAAAAATGCGGGGTCGGTGTGCATTTTACTGAGCTACAGTACAATTAAATCGACCTTTTTTGCACTTAAATTTTATGTCTTTGGTTAACCACTTTATTCTTTATCATATTTTATCAGATGTAATCATAGCAATACATATAACCTTATTTGAAGTAAGTTTGTATAATATTTATCACTGAACAAATCATGCAAATTAATGCGCATAATTATTGTGTGACCTTTATGCACTAAAAAGTATCATATTTGCGGTATAAAAATCTAAATAGGCAATAATATTTTTACCTGAATCAAACTTTTTATATAACTTTTGTGCAGATCAGTTGGAAGTAACGTTTAGTTTAAATATATTAAATAAAAAATTTGGATCGGTGATTTAAATTTTGAGATATTGGTCAAAATATCGATTTTCAGACCAAAAATGGTGTAAATGTTATCTTGACTTCTCTAATATAACCCCATTTCTTGGCAAATTTTGTTGAGTTAATGTGTAAATTTTGTTCTAAAAATATAAATTGAAATATCTATTTAATATTCCAAGCATATCATCACGGAAAATACTCTCTGAATAAAAATTTGTGGGGCCCAAGTTCCAAGAAAATAAATTTAACAAATGTGTAGATTTAAAGAAATTTATTTTAAATATCCTTCCACCACAAGAAATAGTCCCTCATAAATCTTGTCTCTTTATTAATTTGTAAGCAGTTTTTTTTTCAATTGAATGTTGAATAAATTGTGTTGTTTAATCAAATAGTTTTGAAGTTAAAGTTCTGACTGAATTTTTCTTAAAAGCATAATAGTGACATACCTTAACTGTAAGTTACCCGAAGGATAATAGAGGGATTTTGAAATGTTAATCACATATTTGCAGTAAAGACAAGGATTTAAAATTGTAAATATATGTATAAGTAAAGAATCGTTTTTTTTTTAAGATATAACGTTAGTCTCATAACTGCAACAGTGTGTGCACACAAATTTTCATAACGCGCATTACTCTATTTGTTTGCTTACACAGTCTTTACAAGACTAAATCTTTATAAAAATAATGATTCATTGGATATGTATATTGCTCATACGATGTTGTTAACATCACACAAAAATATATGTTTATATTATATTGTTATATATGTTTATATTATATTATTGTTTAAATAAAACGTTTAGAGGTCTACGTAAGAAATTCATATTCCTTGAAGTTTAAAACACAATTTTACGGTAATAATATGACGTGGTCAATGCTACGATTTTTCAAACCTTTGTAACGTGTAGGGAATAGAAGAAGTTGAAACATTCCCCAGTATGTTGAACACGATTTCGAAACTAGAAATGCATGCTTTGATTTATGTAGTATCTTTTTTTAATATAACTAAGTTCTTGTAACCAGCAGGGTACTCACCACGTTTCGCAGTTCATCGGGGTCGATTTTAACACCATTTTGACTTGGAATCTCAAAATTATCCACCAGTGCTGGAGAATTTGATACAACATTAAACAAACTCAGCAAAATAATACTTCTGTAAATCATGTTTGTTGTAATCAGTAACAAAAATTTTAAACTGATCATACAAGTTTATCACCTTAAATAAGATAAAATATTTTATCTTGTTTGTATGCTTTATTCAAACTGTATGTAAATAGTGTAGTATTATCATTACTTGCATTATTATTAAGTAGGGGTAAATAAAAAACACGTAAACATAAAAAGATTTATAATTTAACTGCTGGTAAAATTAATAATGAATCAGAATTAATGTATTGACTGTTGTTTATTTTCTTTATGAAATAAAGATTAGAAATTATTAATGAAAAAATCAAATCATCAAGAAATATTAATTCTTATGTCAAGAATATAAAAAAAGTAAAAAAAAAAAATGATTGTGGAGAACAATTTGTTTATTTGATTGTTTGTTGCTAAATGTCCTTCTCGATATTCACTCGTATACCTACACCTCCTGCTACTTTGGACTTCGATTTTAATGGTCTTATTCAAGATTGATTAGATTTGTCTTTTACAAAGAAACGATGTACTGTTCTGCTGTAAGTACTGTTTTGTTGAATGGAAAAAATGTAATGCGTGAGGTAGATGCCCAAAATAGTAATATCAGAATGTCAAAACGCGGTTAATACTGCTCGTATAAAACGAGGCTTACATTTGTCATTATATCTATATGTATAACTTCCTAAAATTATGTAAATAGTTCCATGAACTAATTTTATAATTTTCCAGGTATATAAAAACACTGTTTTAACTGGAGACATCCCTATCAGGTAAGTTATGAAGTTAAGTACATTTTTATTGGAAAGATCTAATAAAAAAAAAACAACAATAAATTGTTTAACCAAATATTTAATCAGTTTTCAACAATTATCGGTAAAAACACTTGCTAAATAAAATGTTTTTGTATTAAATACCAATATATCATTGTATATAAATTGAGAAAACCATGAATATTTTAAAATTATGCAAAAAATATACTTTTGATGTTCCATATGTTGTTGAAGAAGAGTACCAATAATTTTCACGCTACTAAAATTTTATGTTCTTATTTATAATTTTTCGAACACTAAATTACATGAATTTTAGAATGTTTTTAGAGGCGTTTGTGGGATATATATAAGAATTAAAAAATCATTTTTTCAAACAATAATGATGCATTGTAGCATTTTCGAATTTAATGCTTGAATATTAATGTAAGACACGTTGAAAATCACGTATAATATTTAATTTAAAAGGCGTCTGTTAAAGATAATTTAAAAATTTAGACCTTTTTTTGAGCAGCAGTGACGTTATTTGTGGTATTTCAAAACGAATTCGTTCCAAGAAAATACCAATGAATCTATTAATTTATTTATTTGATATACATTACGTGTAAAATAGTTTGAATGAGCTGATTACAGAAAAACATTTGTTAAATATTATAATAAGATTTTTTGGAAAACGTGTTCTTTGGGGTTTTTTTAAATTTAAGATGAATTAACCAAATAATTACATTTATGCGTTATCATCTTTTTTTAATTAGAAGAATTATAATTAACGTATGAAAGGCCTGTCTCTTTTTGTGCTAGGATTGGTATGTGTTAAAGTAATAATCTATATTTATTTAAGTAAAATCACTAATGTATTATCAAAGACAAAATTTGCTTACTAAGGTGCCATATCAAATTTACTTAAGAAGAAAAACTGAAACATATTTCAAGATTTTATGATGGTTTATTGGCGGTTATGGCCACGGCTGCACTCATAACTGCAAGTACAAAACGGAAACAGTTCCAAAGTGAACCATTGGTATAGATGAAAACCCGGAAATTAAAATAATGCATGATCATGTTCTTCAATACTTTTTAATACATTTTGAATAAAATTAATTGAAAAGTCCAGAGGAGCACTACTAGTAAGCTGAATATCCGCCCACTTTAGGGATCAACAGTCATTTTATAATGATGACAGAGGAGTTTGCTCTCATGGTAGGATTTTACCTGAAAAATAAACAAAAAACGGAAGCAGCCAGAGACACTTGGAAAATATTTTTTCAACCCTTATAATTATAGCCTATAATTCAAGTACTCTGAAAAACTTTTTTGATGGGAGGGTTGGGTGGGTGAATTTCAACGTGTTGAATGCTAAAAAAGTATGCAGGGAGACTACAGGGAGGCCGTGACGTCATATTTCACACTAATACTAGCTGATGAACCAGAAACCTGCTAAAAACCCGACAAATCCGTGAAAGTGTCATTTACGCTATTTAGCTATGATAAACCGATTTAACTTAAATGAGTTAAATCCAATGATATTTTGAATTTAATCACTAAACATTAATCTACTTACATTTCTTACAAAAATCATGTCCTTTGCAACCAATGATATTAAGAAATTGATTAAAATATTCAGTGGTATGGATGGCTAATGGTATTTCAGGATATATTTGAAAACATTTGAAATAATTAAACTTTGACCAAAAAAAAAAAAAGACCAGACACGAGGTCTAAAAAATAGAGAAAAAAATATAGCCTCCTCCTTAAATAACATTTTGTAAACTGCCAAAATATAAGTGAAATATGGATCTTACAAACAGTAACCAAACTCAGAAGTCCATTGAAATAATAGACTTTGGGAGCAGAGCACTTGCCTGTAAAACTATCAGAGGTGGGATCAGGTGCCAGTGCGAAGTAAGCATCCCGAATGTTGTAATCCGCCTCGTGCTCCTTGTCGGATTTTTTTTCGTCAACCCATTTGACAATACCTTGCCTCATTTTAGAGAATGTATTTACGTGGAGCATGCTATTTCTTATCGAATCACTGGGGGCAGGGGGGGGGGGGCATAAACCCGTATGCAGGTGGTCAGGGTTTATATATTGTTTCATAAGTAAGGAATATCTGAACGATAGAAATTTTGAATGAAGTCATTACTTTATCATAAATTTTTGTTGTTAAGCTACCACTCGCGTATTTTTTCTATTTTATTTGTATCTAAGTTCATGTGGACTAACGTTTTTAAAACTAACTGTACATGTTAGACCATTATTTACACACTAAATTGTCGACGGGATTTTTGCGTTATTTCTTGATCATGACAAGGATTTATATTTCTATTGTATAAACAGATTCTGTATCAAAATGAATCTTTATTTAACTGGTCATGATATATGGGATAAAGAATGTGCGGAATGTCACACATGAGATTTATGCCATAACAATTAATCTTGTCTACAGGGCATTGTACATCTTCTCCTAGTCATATTAAGTCATTTACATTCTCCAAACATTTTCTCAGAATTCCAAAGAATAACACCAATTAAAAAAAATACAGATATTAAAATAATATAGTAATATTTTAAACTTATTTTTAAATAAAATTAGATGTAATTTGTAGTAAACATAAAGTATAAACATCAAAATTATGGAAGTAATCATTTTATCCTTATTTATTTATACACGTTTTATTAATTTCACAAAAAATATTGAAAATAATAATCAATCATTTTACTTTCAATACAAGTTGAATTATTGCTTCCAAACTCTGTATATGTTTGAATCAAAATAATGAACATGATGTACACACTTGTTTAAAAACATAGGTATTTTTTATTGACATTATTAAAGCATGAAGATATACTTCTATTACATGTAGTCAAATTATGATTATAATCCTGACATCTTAGAAAAAATAGACATGTGTTTGAAACATTTTGTGTAAAAGCTGTAGAGCTTTAAATTCTATAGATATGTCCATTTTATTTACTGATCCGTCAGAGAAAATTTTATAAGAGAAATTGCTTTTTTATAAAAATAAAATCCATTCTTATTCTGTTATTGGTCCCCTCACCCGAAACTATTGCATCTGATCCCACATATGGGATTTCCAGGGTTCCGTGATATAGGCCCTGTTCACGGATTTATATTGTTTTTAGGTTTTTGATCGAGACAATTTTTCTTTTTACATTAATTAATTCATTAAGCTAAAAGGTCTCTTAATCAAAGTTAGTTTGATCCTAATTTTGTATTTTATCAGTTCAAGGCTATGTAGCAATAAAATTTGTTGAGTATTTTGGATTTGTGGATAGGTTATCTTAGAGATACACAATGTCTTTTGTTCCAGCTTCTCGTGTCTCTCTGTTTCCATAATAAATAAATCTAATTTTTTTGTTTTGATACGGTATTTTTGAAAATAGTAAATAAATTGAATTTTATTTCTTTTCGAATCTTCATCGTGTTCGAGTGAATATAAAATTTTGTCTGAGAAAAAAGGTTAATTGCTTTCATATGGAACCCTTCTTTGAAATACACAGGTGTGTATGTTATACAGTGTTTGCGATCTGCAAGCTTAACTTTTTAAAATTTAATTCTTAGTTAAATGCATTATAGTCAGAGAAAGTTTTTTAACAAAACACATCTGTATAAGATAATATAATTTATTATTCCCATTTCTTTCCGGAAAAGGAGCTGCCCATGCGTGCTAGTCTATTTGTTTACAGAAACCAAATATTATTTCACTATGACAAAGCAAATTTTAAAAAAATTACAGATTAGTTCAGACTATTTTAAAAAAAAAATGTACTCATTCACTTTCATCATTTACATATTAATTTATGTTTCATTATTTGTAAATAATTAACAAGAGCAATAAAATAAGCCTGATATTATTAATAAACAGATAAACTTAAATGAATATATTATCATTCCTTTACAGAAGTGTGAATTTTATTAACCCTTTTCAGTAACAACTTAATTAATTTGTCGCCAAGGAGATTACCTAAATTGAAAATGGGATCACTCTTAGATATAAGTTTAATAGGTCGGATTTTCTTTGTATTAATTTCTTTAAATATCTTTTGGATAAAATATAAGCGAGAAGACATGAATAACTTTACATATACTAAGTTAGTTAAAAACAAATCGTAAAGCATGTGCTCTGTCTAGCTCAAAAATTTCTGGGGAAAAATCAATGACATTGTTCAGGTGTTGTATTATAGAGACTTTTTTGTAACCCAAGAAATTATTGAATGATTCTTTTAACGGGTGGCTAAATAAACAGTTGGCTTTGCTGTACATTTCCAATATTTCGCAGCATGTGTGTCAAGTTGTACATATTGATAATAACATGATCCAAAAACTAAACATAATAAATAAAAATGAATTCGAAATTTTATAAAAATTATAAACAGTTCATTACTTTTTTTCCGAACTACTGTCTTCTAGACGGATTCATATAAGCAAAATAAAGGTATTTTTCAACATGAATCCAATAGAAATTAATAGTTTTGGCTTTTATAAATATAGTTTATTAATTCTGGCAGAGTGCAAACGCTTTTGAAATTAAATAATATATATATGTTTATATTTCATGCTTAAAATTTCTCTGAAAAACCTAACATTTTAAACGTAACGTCATTTTGATCGGAGGGTCGGGTTGGTGATTAAATAATTGACCGTTTTATTTACTATGAATATATTGAATATTAAAAATATTAACCCCTAATAATAAATAATATATCCCTTTAAAGGATGTTTAATCAAAGTTGAACAATATCAGAAATGATTTATTAACTGGACTGAAATAACAACAAAAGTTACTCAAGCTATTCGTCTAGTTAAAACATTGTAAATATTTGAATGCCGATAAGGAGTGGTATAGAAATATAAATAAGTTTGAGGTTTAATTTACATTCATTTATGTTTAAAATATTTTACAAAAATATTCAGTTTATAGATGTAATGGACAATAAGTGTCAAATTAAACCACAACTTATTATTTAAACGTAATTTATATACATGTAACATTTGACACAGACATAGAATGTTCATAATGTGGTGAACCTCGAAGTGAGAAAATTAGTATTATCAACCAGCTCAAAAATAATCTAAGCTGAAAAAAGGGAAAAAAAACTTGAGTAGTTTCAACTCTTTGTTAACAATTCTTCAATATTTCATAAAATATCAACACGGGAAAAATAAATTATTTGCGCACTGAACGGTGGACGGATTTTTTTTTCTTTATTTCCCGATAATGACAAGGAGCACAAGACGGATGTGACCGGTCGCCAGGGGATGCTCACTCATACCTAATCAAACCTCTGATGTTTGAGAGGTCCGTGTTTGCTATGCTATTGATTTATCTTTTTAAAAGGACTAACTTCTGAGCTTGAATGGAATATATGGAGACAACGAACAATATTCAAGCTAAAAAGTCCATTAAACAGTATAAACAGAGCAAATACACACCTCCAACACATCAGAGGTGGGATCCGATGCCATGGTGAGTTGAGCATCCCCTGCCGACCAGTCACATACACCCGCTTTGTGCTCTTTGTCATGATCGGAAAATAACGGAATAATCCGTCGTCGATTCAGTGTGTAAATAATGGACTAACAATTAGTATGAAAAACGACTGTCAGCATTTGAATAAATGAAAATTGTATTGATGACAAGGTCGACCATATAACAATAAAATGAAACACATGGAGATAACGAACAGTATTCAAGATCAAAAGTCTATAAAACAATACAAAATAGGAGCAGTGCAAAACGGACTTCCAAAACATCAGAGGTGGGATCAGGTGCCATGGAGGAGTAAGCATCCCCTGCCGACCGGTCACACCCGCTGTGAGCTCCTAGTCATGATCAGGAAATAACGGAAAAATCCATCGTCAATTCGGTGCATAAATAATGGACTAACAATTAGTATGAAAAACGTCAGTCAGCATTTGACTCAATGATAAACTGTATTTGCTGACAAGGTCTTTGTATCGACCATACAGCTTACGGAATGATGACTTTAACAAGACTGCTGATATTCTTGTTTCATCAACTTGTTTGTCAATAATATACATCGTTTTAGAAATTGTCCATACGTAGAGCATGCTCTTGCATATCGAATCAACTGAGATATATAAACTCCGTATGCATGTGATATAAGGTATATTGCTACATAAGTAAAGGGAGTTGACGATTGTAAAGTTAAAGTCAACACGTTTATCATAGACTTCAGTTGTTAGATTACCATTTACGTCTATTTCAAGTAAAATATCCAAATGTGAAACAGATGTGTCAGACTCTGTGGTATCTTTTATTTCAAGCTCACCAGGATATAACGTACCGACACAACCATGATTGTTAATTGACAAAACGTCGTCGATATATCTAGATGTCGAGTCGAAGGCCAAAGCAAGTGTTTTCTTCTTTTTATTTTGGACAAATCTGCTTCATATAAATGAATACTGTTCGTTTTCTCCATATATATATATATATATATATATATATATATATATATATATATATATATATATATATATATATATATATATATATATATATATATATATATATATATATATATATATATATATACCAATTCATTTTTGTTTACTTATGTCTGTTTTCAGTTTATGGTATTGGAATATGTTCAGTGTTTTAATTTTGTGTATTTAGCGGAAAACACAACATAGTTATCTGCGTGGTTTAAGCGTTTGCTTACATCGCAGGTTTGAATCCCAATGTGGGACATGGAGACATATATCCTTCAGATGAGAACTTATAAATCGAGGTCTCGTGTTGCATTAGGTGCTGACAGGAAAAAGATCCCTCACATCTAAAAGGCTCGAAGTACATGTCTAAATTTGAAGTCCATCACCTGCAATAGGGACCGTCTCAATATGAGTGAACAATTCTGGAAAGAGTTGTAAACTCACCCACCCCCACCGACTTTATATTCTGCAATGATTAAAAAGACTTCACCTTGCAGAATCGAAACACCATCTTTTTGCCTATATGGTGAGGCAAATAAAATACCGTCGCATACAATTGTTAGAATCGATCTAAATCTTAAAATGATAACTTAAGTTTCGTAATTTAATTTGTATTTTCTTTAATTGTTAAATGAATACCCTTCTCTTTCATATCTAAAAAACTTAACCTGTATATATTTGAAATATTACTTTATTTGACATATGACAGCAAATTCTCCTTTGATTTTATATTCTACCTTACAGCAAATCTTAAAAACAGACATGTATCTTGCCTTTTGGGGATGGCTTTCAATTTTCAGATAATTAACAATAATCTTGAAAGCAAGATTAATCATATTTCTGTACTTTTTAGGAGTTCATGTTAATTTTTCTAAAAATTACAATGAACAATGGAAAAAAAATAACAGTGAGACTAACAAAAAAACCTAATGACCTACATTGTGTTTGACCTACAGCGAAATATTTATAATTAAAGTTACTATAACGGTGCTAGCTGGGACAATTTCATTGCAGAACAGAAAGATAAACTGTATTAATCATTATGTTACTCTGATACTTTTGGGTGTCAAAAATGGGACCTCAAGTGAATATTTTTTTAACATGAGAAAGACTTCGTACTTAATGCTCCCGCCAAGTTTATATCCCTAAGACATTCTTATTAAGGATCTTATTTATCAATGTTCTGATTTCTACAGTGACCTTTGAAACTTTAAGCACTGAATAACAAAGTTTTCGTAATTAATACCATAATAATATGACAATTTTTTGTCATGGCTTTCAAAGAGTGCAATAAATCAAGCATATCTATCAAAATTATTTATAAGCTACATTGCTTAAAACCAAGAGTTTCAGAAGATTAAGTCTTATTTTGTACCCAGTTTGTATTCCAATAACGTGATAAGATTACACGTTGGTCTGAACAATTGTCTTTCGTTAAAAAAAATATTTTTCTGAATTTTATCTTTCTCAATTCATGTGTGGAAGAGATTTTCAATTTTCATGAAGGATTTTAATTTCTCATTGATAGGCAATACCCTTTTTATGAGAATTTGAAATACAAAATAAGGTAAGTCTTGGTTAAAATTGACTTAAATTGTGCATGTAACTACTTAATAAGCATCTTTAATTTTTACACATGTCCTCTCTATTTTTTTTTCTTTTGCAAACGGATTTCAAATCAGTTGAAGAGCATTAATGAAAGAAAATTCTAGAACAATGGGGAACCTAATGGATAGGGTAAAGTTAGCTGATATATAATATTGCTTTTTGTACACCAGAAACGACTGAATAAAGATGGACCGACTCCAAACTTTTTTTTTACAATCCAGGACACATTTTTTAAAGCAATATATTGATTACCAATGACAAGGTATTTAATTTAGAAATATTTTAATTGAAAAAGCAGCTACCTGTGATTTTTGAAAATCTAAGACTTAAGTTTTATGTGGGTAATGTGCTGAAATGTTGTGCGTTTAATTTATTCTTATAAAATTTTGTGATTTAAATTTTTCTTCTTTAATTAAGTTCCAGTTCCAGTATCCATATTCTAAGTTGTCTCTCGTCCTTGTGGGATTTTTATGATATCGTAGTCAAGTAATTACTCTTTATTCAAAAAAGCAAGTCTGAGATAAAGCTGAACTTTAAACGTGATTTATTCGATAGGATCATTACAGTTACATCTTCTTTATATAAATGTCGGTTAAAAAGGAACTGAATTTTTATTTTTAAAAAAACCACACAGCTGTCTCTCTTATTTTTAAAAAATATAATAATTTAACTTGAATTTTTACCACAAAGAATTACTATTTTCGTTGATTTATGTAATTTAATAAGCTTTAAATATTGAGATATAGAATACATGTACATTTTAGAAAACACCCAAATTCTATTCTGTAGAAATTGTTTCCATGTTTAGAGATGAAAGAAAGAATAACATTTACCCATGAATATTTAACGGTTGGCCCTCATTATTAAAGTGACGCATGAATAATAAGATAAGTCGTATTTTTAAAAATATATATAAAATTATACCTTTCCTTATTTTCAATAATCTGCAAAAAGCACAAATCTCTAAAGATACAAGGCATATATCACGTGACTTTCTGACAAACGAGTACAGTGCGCGATTGGTCTTCTAGTCGTAGTTTATGTATAATACATCACACGAAGTTTTCTGACAAATGGTATTAAAAGCATATACTACCTTGAGATTGGACATAAAGTTGACAACTGAATCTAAGAAGCGCGTGCCGTATCATAAGGTAAATATTATTGTTTGTATGATATCTAGGAAGAAAAGTTAAGGAAGCTGGGTGTATTGTCTTTTTCGATTTTAGCAGGTATTAAGTTTGTAAGTATGGGCGTTGAAATTATTTTTTCAATTTTATAAATATTAAGTTTATTTAAAAAAAACATAAACGATAAATTTTCTCAATTTCTAAGTCCAACATACTACGTAATTTTTCTTCGTAATATAATCGTTACCAATTGAATATAAAACTACATACTTTATTTCAAAACTATTTTTATTTTAATTTCTGACTTGTCTAAGACTAGCATACCGGTTATCCCGTGGGGAATTTTAAACTTATTAACTATAATCCTGTTTACAAATGATAAAAATTCTGTCATTTGAAAATAGAGAATTTTATTACTTTTAAGACAAATTACTGACAGAAACTGATTAATGGCTTATTTGAATTCAGTTTCAGTGGTCATTACTTCAAAGGGCATTCACATTATTAATGTATAAAAAGTACAGAATAAATCTTAATGCTTGTGTATAGGGTTTTTCAAAGAAAACAAAATTAGTTAAAAACACACGTACGGACATACTTTTCGTGAATTTTCGTTCTTAATTTGCATCGAAACTTTTAAATACAAATATCACCGTACATATTTCACTTATGAAAATGATTTTCAATGATAAGTTGATCTATTTAATGGCATAATTAAAACATGAAAATAAGGAAGAGTGACCTATCCCTCTAGGCCTATTTGACTTACGCAAAACGTGGAAAATAAGGGAACATTAACCATGAAGTGTCAGATCAAATATTTCATTTTATAAGAAACACATGTTCTCCGATACATGATTTGAATGCATGGAATTGTCAAACTGATTAGGGAAAATGATGACATTGTGAGAAAATCACTTATAGATTTCTCAATTTTTGTATTTTAAAATCAAATTGTAAAATTTCATAGAAAAAATAAAATCCCCTTTTCAGAACTTAAAATACCTGATTATATATGAAATAACTACGTTTTCAGCTCTTCCATGTTTTTTATTTCAATATTTCGGTTTTCCAATGTTTTTGCATGAGCATTCCTAAAGAGATATAATTTGTCGAAATGTGCATCTGCCGCATCAAAATTGAAAATATCTAACATTAACACATAGGTAAAGGCATTAACAGTGAAATTTAAAATATTGATTTAAAATGTTCAAATTTGCACAGTTTCTATTAAAATACGTTTTAAAAAACTATCTATGGGGAAAAATGGCCGTTTTTTCTATTAGGCTACAAATTATTAGGATGATTCTTTATTTCTAAAAGAAATTACAAAAATACACTAAATTTACTCTTTTTCAATATAGTTTATTCAGAACAATACAAATGCATGTATGTTAAAAGGCATAAAACACGGAGCGCTGGAATTTGAAGAGGTGAGACTCTGTGTTCTGGAGGAGTAAGATTCCCCTATTAACCGGTGACACCCACCGTGAGCTCTGTATTTTAGTAGACGGAACTTTCCCTATTCAAATTCAATATAAAAACAAAGGCCTACCGATAGGTATGATTTAAGGCAGCCAAACTCGCTCTGACAGCGATAGTTTATATTTGCCGACAAGGTCATGAGAGCGACCATAGAATTTAGTAAATGCCAACTTAAAATGACGTTGTGAAAGTCCATGTAACATCAACTTATCAGTGAGTAGCATGTCTCGCTTAGAAAATTGATCATACTTTTGAATAAAAGCCTTTGAGTAGCGAATAATTTGTGAGCCAAAGACACCATAAGCAGGTGAAACCGGTAGTAGATCTATATTATTACTACATTAATAATGAAAGTTGACGATGGAAAAGCTGAAGTCATTCCGTTTGTCATACAAAATGTAGACGTAAAAAAATATTATTTCTTTCAAAATCATTAAAATTAAGAAAATGCCTCATGTTCGTGGTAGCATATATACCTAACTTATGACATCGTAGTTTAGTTTGGGAGATAATGCGCATTACAGAAGAAAGTCGTTATGCAATGCATTTCTATATAAATATTTAAAACCTTACGTTTATTGAAACCTATTTTTTTTTCTTTTTTGTTAACAATAAATTAACTTTGAGACTATATTGGTTCTTTTGATAAAAATAATTCCCAAGAAACATGTGTCATAAAATGAAATTAATTACATTAACTCAAAACTTTGTCTTTGCAATTTGCATTGATATATATATAGAAGGTTTTTTTTTTTTTTTTAAATAAACGTTGTAAAATACCTGTAAAAAACAAAAAGTGTGAACCTACTTTGTAATAAGAGTGATATGTGTACTTTACGTGTAGTTCACTGATCTTAGAATGCATGCCGAGTTATTTAGCCTTTTTTACATTTATAAGAGCAGCAGTCAAGTTCATTCTTCTCTCACTTCATCGATAAATTTAATATTTATTAAGATTGTCGACAACAGAAATCCTTATTAATTAGATATTTCGGAAGTGAAGAGGGTCTATCAATGACATGTTGTAAAACAGGTCAAATAGGGTTATTTTATATTTACACCGGTACCTTATAAATTTTAATGAAAGGGAAACAAATGAATTCAATAGTTAATGCTTGTATCGATTGGAAAATTTAGAGTAGCCTTACATATATGGTTAGGATAAATGCCACAGTTTAATGTGGAGAGAATTTTTAACATATCACATTGTATTTCTGCCATGTTGGTATTTAATAAGACCAGTGGTACCGAGACACCTTTCTCCGGTCAGGAGGTGCAAGTAGCATGATATGTCTGTCACGAAGAAATTGTACTTTTTAACATCCGTGAAAAAATACACTTAGCATAGGTAATTTGTTGTCATTCATTTAACATTACATTGAATATATATGCGATTTCAACTCAATGGATTTTACATTTAATTAGATGAATAACAATTAATTTGTGGCTACATGATGGGATAAAAATAATATAACTGTCTCACCTTAAGGCACATACGGTAACGGCATACTACAAACGATTTTACTATTAGACAGATAAAACCATTTAATTATTGACATAGTTTGGTTTTTCTTTATAGACTGGCAAAGAATTTTGATAGTTTAAAAAAGTTATTTGGTTTTTTTGTAAGGGTAGATATAGCCTGCAAATAAGATCTGCATTATTCATGTCACACCCTTTCTTAAAACTTGTGTATCGATACAACAACGTACACACAAAGTTCTTATATTTATTCTTGAAAGCAAGGCTGTTTGTGGCCATCCCACTCAAATTATAAACGTACGTTTTGTTTTTTTTTTCCCTTGATTTCTGTGTTTTGAATTTTTTTTCTTTTTTTTTTCTTTTGTTCCTTTTATTTTTATTCGCAGATTTTTTATGACTTTTTTGATTTGATAAAACCACATAAAATCAAAAGATGTTAACTTTGTAAAGCACTTATGCCCCCTCCCCCAAATTATGAGAAATTTTCGTAGTCCAAATGCCTCGATCATACCAAAAACAAAACTTGACCTGGATATTATTATGATAAATCTATATACCAAATTTCATTTCAATATGTGCAACCTTTGCAAAGAAAATGAAAGGAAACTGCAAATAATTGGAATTTTTCTAAGTCCAAGAACAGAACTTGATCAATATTTGCAACCTCTACGAAGAAAATGAACAGAAACTGATGGTGGACCGACAGATAGACCGACCGACAGGTGCAAAGCAATACCCGGTATGACCTTCCTTTTTCGAAAGGGGGGGGGGGGTTGGTAAAAATTATGTTGAACAATCACTTTTCTAATAACGTTCGTTCAATTACCACTTTTCCGCAAATCAATGAATGTTCCTTGAAAAATCGTGTACGCGTATCTTCTGTGATTTTAAAAACTTTTCAACATTTTATTATTTTTACTATTTATTTACTGTATATATTTCTTATTTGATTTGTTTTGTTACATGTATGTTTTAAAGGTACTCCCTCTTACCACGGGGAGGTCTTCTAGTTTTTGCAATTGTAAGTACGTATATAATCATTTCGTAATTTCTATGGTCGATACAATGACCTTGTCAGCAAATACAATCTATCAATAAGTCAAATGCTGACGTACATTTTACATACAAATTGTTAAGCCATTATTTACACACTGAGTTATCAACAGATTTGAAAAAAAAATCACGAAAGTGAACACACGGCGGGTGTGACCGGTACGGAAAGGGATGCTTACTCCTCTATGTCATCTGGTTTCACCTTCATATTTCTGGATCCATGTTTGCTCTGCTCCTGATCTGTATTGCTTAAGTAGACTTTCGAGCTTGAATACGGTTCGTTATCTGCTAATATTTCATTGTGTAACTGACTTTGGACGTTGGACGTTACTGTCCAATCAATAACTAAACTTACCGACTTCGCTGTCTTTCCTTATTTTGTAGTGAGATTCAGCATTCAGCAAGTTCGTCATAATGATACGACCTATCGGTAGGTCCTAATGTGACTTAACCGTTATATCATTTTTAAAAAAGATTTTCACATTAAATGAAAAGAGCATATTATTTTTTCTAAAAATTATAATCCTAAATTTCAACTTAAATCATTAAAATATTTGTATTAGAAAACATCTCAATTGGCCGGAAGAGGAATACTCCTACAAAAAGAAATATTGAAAAAGAATAAATAAACGAAAATGAAAAAAAAAAGTTGAAGGTAACTGACATTGACCAAACTCTATGAAATCTACAAATAATATAAATCCGTGGACAAGGTCTAAAACAGAAAGCCCCAGAAATTCCGGAAGTGAGATTGGCTGTTTAGGATACGCAGTCCTCTATCAGAGATACCCCTGTAAGCTCTAGGTATTTATCAGCTAGACGGAATATTTAGTAATTAAATTCAGTATAAACAAAGGCCTAAGAATAAATATGAGATACGACCCAGTGATTTGTTATTTTTGCTAACAAGGTCATAAAAACCATCATAGAATTCATGAAAATATCAACTTCGATGTTGTTGAAATCCCTGTAGCATCCACTTATCTGTGAAAAACTTGCCTTGGTTTAAAACAGGATCTTACTGTTCTTAGGTACTGAATAGGTTTTGTTGGGAGACAAAAAAAAAAACGTAACTTTGCAGTATTTTAAATACAAAAATAAGGGCAAATGACGATGGAAAAGCTAGCCATCTTTTTATCATACAATTTAGAGTCAGTTAGCTCTTATCGTCTACATGGAGGAAAACATTAAAATATTAAACAAATGTAGCGCAGATTGTATGGTGTCTTTGATTTTTAAGTTACTAGAATAAATGTAGTTGACACATAAATGGAAATAAATAATTTAAATGATTTTTTTTCAATTTAGGAAATTGGAAAAAGTCACGTAGTAATATATCTAGTGAATAAATTGGGTGATTCAATTTTCTATTCCATTTCCATGCATGTTGTATGTGCAGGTGCATTATCTTGTAAAGGTTACCGCCTCTCATTCCCGACTTCTGTATGTACCTAAGACCATATTTTTACAGTTTATAAAGACTCGAATTTTTGCTTTGGGAATTTGAGCGATTGGCTTTTTAAAATTTAAAATTGCTAAAAAACATCCTTAACTATCTTTCTGCATTTAACCAATTGTAGGTCGATTATCTTTGTTTTCCAATTTTCTCTTGGGTTCAGAAAAAAAATAACCCAGTTTCATCCCAATTAGCAGTTTCATTTCAGCGACGACTTAGTTCTCTAGAAATGCTGCAATCACTTATCATATCAAACTTAGCAGATATTTTATACTGTTTTGATTCTTAATATAAAAAATATCGTTTTGACATAATATCAGTATATATAAATATCAGTTTCATTTTTGCACCATTTTATCAGTGTTAGACGACTTAACAGAATGACGGGTTCTTAAAATGAACTAGAGTAAGCATTAAAAAGGATTCTAGTAATTGATTCCTTGGTTTTGTATTTCTTTTGGAGGTTGATAATCTTCCCTTTTAATTTCATCATTTTTATGGATTTGTAAAAACTGAAAAATGTTGACGTAATTTTTTTTTTAAATGAACATGTCAATTTTTTTTATATCACTGATTCTTTATTTAAAATGGTACTCGGAAATTATTACAACTTGTGAATGGTCATCTTCAGTCATATTTTTATTTTGAAATCATCATTCTGATTCCAAGTACTCTGAAATAGATATTAATTAATTAATCAAATGATGGTGGTATTCCTTATTGACAATTTCTGTGTAATCTTTTCAGACAAAATCTGAAACAAATTTCATAAACTTCTGTAAAGAAAGAAGAGGTCCTTGGTTATTGTATACAATGAGACATTTAAAGATATCGACAACATTCAATCCATAAACATTTTCATTTTCATTCATGAAAAAAACCCAATGAACTCAATGAATGTCTTTCTTCCAGTTGTTTCGATACACAAGAGCCTGTTCTGTATGGAAACAATGTTGAAAAATTAGTAGGCTAACTTCAAGAAAGTTAGTATAACATAGGTATCAACCATCTTTTTAAAGTTTGTGCAATTTCTACCGGTAGGTCGAATGCTGAATAATATATTAGATACAACTATTTTATACTGAATTTTTAATGAATTACACCAATCAAGACAAAGGACTCATGATCAGGCGACATTGGATATTCACTCCTCCATGACTTCTGATCATTTCTCTGGTGATATATCTCTTTGCTTTAAGTTAGAAGATAATATGCGTATTCTATTGTTTGATTTAACGCAGTTATTTTAAGCGTCTTTTTGGGGGGTAAAACTCCATCCTCATAAATAAGCGTAAGACAACAAAGAAATATGCTCAAATAAGTTGTAGAGTTATTTTGTTTTTATTCATATATATTTTTTGGTTAGCACACTCTTCTTTTTTTGATAGCAAATTGCACTTTTTCAATGACAATTTGTCAATAGCTTTTCATATGATGTTGAAAAATGAAAATGACTATCTAGTTTCAAATAATTTACCAGAGACTCCAAAGTGAATATCGTTTGGCATGCCACGTAAGAGTAGCAAATGATCATCTTTCAGAGGTTCAATCTCATAAGAAGAAAAAAAGTCACATTCCAAAATTCCTAGCGGTCGTATAGTTTGTTTTAAAGCTTTCTGATTGGACAAGAAAATCGTATACAAACAACCGTCTGCACCAAAACAATTCATTCATCAAGATAGATATCGTACCTGATAGACAACTGGGAAGAAAGTGCGTCAGTTGATGTCGAAATGATATTGTAATTATTTTTTGGTGATAAGAAAGACGTTGTCTGGCTGGAGGTCATACAAACAAATATTTCGCCTGACCATTCCACCAGTCGAGAAAAATAAAAACAACAAACAAACCGTTATTTATAGGTTCAGGTGCACTTTGCCCATCCTTAACAGTAACTCAAAGACAGAGCAATTAATATTCCAACTGATGCACAAAGTCAGACATATTGCATAATTTTCAGTATAGTGACCATCGCGTCAATCCTCTTCTAAAGTTCACTCAATAAGCAGTTACATAATTGGATTAGTTTTCTTTTGTTGAGTTTGTTGTATGGGAGTTTTGTTTAGTGCTTGAACATGTTGGGAATAAATAGTCGCCATTGTCAAGAAAAGTCATTGAAGGTTTCCTTTGCCTTACATTTTCATTTATAGAACATTCAGAAAATAAAGATACTAGATACGCCATTGCGTGGGAAAGGGATCATTTAGGTATGAAATCATTATTGTGGATCAAACCTCAGACACAGCAGCCCTGCCTCTCTGCATACATTATCGTAGGCCGTCCTTAATTTCCTGTCATTCGGAATTCTATCAATCAATTGAAATCACAGATGTATAAAATGTTGCATTCCAATCGAGGGCTTTAACTTTAGCTCCGAGAACATTTCTGAACATATGAAAACTTTATTTCTATGAAAATTTGCCTATAGGAGTTTCGCATTCCAATTTGTTTCTTTTTTTCTTGCAGCTGAAGTTGTTTTTCTAGTTTGAAAATTCATACAAATAAGACAACGATGAAGGGGACAATTAGAACATTCATTCTCTTGTATTGGATATGCTGTGCTTTTTCACTACCATTGCATAAACTGATCAAACGAAATGTTGCGCAAACGAAGGTGAGAAAAATTATTAATTTTTCATGGTTTGTTTTTACTTATGTATTTTGTACAAAAAATTATCCGAAATAATGCATATATTTATCATAAGTGTATCTTATTTCTGAATTTCAATAACGTTTTCTTAACTCGTATGAAAATACGAATATTGCAACCATAACAATTTATTTAACCCAATACATTTTTCTTTTCTTTTTTTTTACATTTTGATTAAATAATAGTTTTACCACTTAAAAATAATCGGATTTTTTTCCCGGATTTTTAAAGATGAATTCATGGATAAAAGTCCCTTTTCTATAGGTAATGAATACAATGAATCAATTCAATATCATTTCAGAGAGTAGTACTGCATGACGTTTATCCTTTGCTTTCAGAGAAATGTTGACCCTGAAATCTTGATCGACCTTCTAGCAGACCTAATATTTGAAAGTACTGCCCGAGGTCGGGAGACAATAACTCCAAGTGATATTACTGAGTACTATTCGAGAGAATTCGGTTATGACGACTATAGAGCCTCTCAGATCAGCCTCAGGTACATGGGGTGGGGAGATACGAATCACGATGGAGTACTCACAAAAGAAGGTAATGCGTATATTTCACCGATGTTTCTTTCTCCAAAACCATCAAAGTTTGATTAAGGTCTTAATTTTACAATTTCTTTCTCATTTACAGAACTAAAAATAGCGCTTCGGAGGCATGACAATGATTTTTAAGAATCAAAGCTCCACCTAACCATCCCCTTTGGTTTTGATTGTGTTCATTTCTGTTGGTGATGTCCCCGTTACGTCAATTTTCAGTCCTCGTAACGTAAATCTCGTCATCGTGTTCACGCTACGTCCGTAAGGCTCTTCTCTTTGTTTCGCATCACAATCTGGATGGTTGTTTGATCTGCAGTGCGGACATATCTTTTGTTAGATGAGTCGGGAAATTGTGAGAAGCGTGCATCCAAGTCGTCATTTGCGGCAAATGTTGTCTATTGTGGAACTACCACCATGCAGTTATACATGCACGTTGTTTGTTGACTGCAACAACATATCAAACCATATATTTGTTTATCTGTTAACGTGTTCTATATCTATGTATTACTTATTTAACGTTAATTTTTTTATTATTGGTAAAAAAAACACATAGATTGTTGTTTTATTATGATTTTTTGTTTTATTTTTTCCACTTGTTTGTGAGCAAGTAGACTCGACTGTTTTCAGTTTAGATTTTAATTCCAGTTCTTCGTTATTTTGTACTAGTAGAACCATATAACTTCTTGTTATGTTGTTATATATTATATTTGACAAATCGTCTTCATTGGACGATGAAAAATGAATATTTTGCTTGCCACATGATCATTGTTTTCGCAGGCTCATTAATTTATTTCTTACCATCGGACGTTACCTGTGTCCTTTCATGTCACCAAGATACACCTGTATTTATCACGTTCATTTCGCTAAGGAGGTTGTGGTTTTGTTTGTGAGACATTCTTCACATGCTCAAAGTATCCATGTTTTCATATATCTAAATATATATTTTTTCACAGTATTTTCTTTTGCTTTTATAAAAGATTCCAATAAATATGTATAAAACAAAGTTTTTGTTATATATTTAGCGATCTTTAGGCTAAAATAGTCATATATCATTAGAGGGACTTCGAAAAAATTTAGTCAGCATTTCATAAATTCTATGGCCGTTACAATGATCTTATCAGCAAATATAAGCTATCTCTGGGTTGTATTTTGGCTGATCTGTATCTTTCCATCCTAAGGCCTTTCATTTAAAACCGAGTTTGACTACGAAATATTCCGTCTATCAATAGCATCTACTAGTATCCATCTATCAATACATAGTGCTCATGGCGGATGTGGCCAGTCGACAGGGGATGCTTACTTCTTCTCGACACCTGATCTCACCACTGAAATTCAAAGGGGTCGTTGTGTATGCCCTCTTTATGGATTTGTATTTTTTATAGAAGCTTTGAGATCAATCTCTATTATCTTCACCATTCTCAATATGAATATGCCAGGCACAACAATTTTGCAATTTATATTCATTTTACATTCAGTAAGTTATAAATTATTTTCCCAAACTTAATTACATGAATGACTTGAACCTCGTTCTATCCGAACAAGACTTCTTAGCTAGATTTCCGTAAATATTTGGAAACTATTTCATCTATTTGGAAAATGACAGATATGTCCATCTGCTGTATCAACAAAGCGTCAGTTTTCAGAATAAATTACTCGTTAACACTCGTTACTCTGCTACACGATGACCCCCTGTTGTCAACTAACCAAGATTTAGTGACCGAGTGCTGGTCATTTCATTGCGCTAATTTAACAGTGATATATTAAGTATAAATAATTTTTATTTTGTTCGTCGAAACCGTTTATATGCCATTTCATGATATTAAAGTATTTTGAAGGCATACTACAATTCTAGGAGCATAATAGGAATCAAATATACATACATGTGCATTTGAAGGAAATTGTCAGATTCGATAAACTGAATTTTTTGGTAATTTTTTAGGGTAGGAAAAATGTGCAATTTACATTGAGTAAATTACAAGAGTTTTGTAAAAAATGAATCGCAATAAATTGTAAATGAATTTTGTTGCTTCTCCTAATTACTATAAAATAAAAATTGTTGATATGATTTGAAAAGGTAGAAATTTGCAAAATGAATATCGGTGGAAGAAATAAAAGAGGACCATGATATGTTAGTAATCGGGCAAAGGAGGTGCCGGGAAGTCTAGCTAACTTGATGAAAATTACAAATGACATATTATTTCTTTCACACCCAGAATTTTAAAATACCTTCAAAACCTTGAACCCTTGGATATTTACACACGGACAGCATGTGGTTTGAAGATGTATAACATGGTCGTAATAAATAAAAGACTGGAAGATCTTTGTGAGTGTTTATTAAAATATTATTTGAGTCTCTCTGACTCCTGTATTAGAGAATAAACATTTCAAACAATGCGCTATGAGTAACCTACACAGAATAAATTTGAACCTATTGGTACAAAAGAATTTAGATTAGTAGTATGGACGTACTACTCTTGCAAAATATATTGTCCATCTTTAAGTATCTGTTAAGCAAAAAGGAAAAAAAAAAAAAAAAAAAAGACCTCCAAAGAAAAGAAATTATTCCAATGATTTCAAGAGTTAAAAGAAAGCATGTATGCAAGGCACTAAATCGTTCAGTGTTAATATTTTTAACGCAACCATATATAAAACACATTTGATAAATTATGTTTTTTGTGCTTTATTTATTACTATACGTAATATATGTTACCATGTCTTAAAGAAAGTATAAACAGATATAACATATTATTATTAAATTAAATGAATTTCTATCTCTAACACAAAAATATTATTTCTTTTAATATGGAATTTTTGTTCTACACACATGACCTCACCGTAGAATCTTAGACACAAGGAAACGAAGTTTCAAACAGTACATATACAGAAGATGTTCCAGATCATCCCTAGGCAGTGACAGCTTATCACTATAGACGAAATTAAATCATGTGCAATAGTAAATTGCCTTTAAAGAATGTTCCGGTGCGTCATAGCATCCTAGGGAGCAAACAAGTCTCTATGGGTCTGTTTAAGGTTTACACGTATTGAACTCTCTACGGAATGATTTTGATGCAATTAATGTTATTGATAAATGTGTCACATATTCTTATATACGAGATACATTAAGTAAAAGATAAAGTATAGTTCCTATCAGAAAAAACACAAGAAAACATATACCCTTTAAAATATTCTTTGACGGGAAAATTATCTTAGAGATAACAGGGATGTACTTTTAACACATGACATTGAGTCTGCAATTAAATAACAATAAAAAAAAATCTCCCCTCAACTAAAAAAACAAGATGTGTTTGTGAAACACTGATGCCCCTGTATGGCAACATAGCAAAGATTATGCTTTTCATAAATGCAAATTTAATTAATTGGTACCAAAAGTAGGGTATTCTCACTGGAAAACAATTGTGAAATTTGAAAGTAAGCCAATGTTAAAGTTTTTTAATAAGTACTAAAATCTCCAAGGTCAAGGTTAAAAGGTCAATGTAATTAGTATCAAATGAAAGGTATTGCCACATAGAATACTTAAGTAGAGCATGAAAGCCTTAGCCCTAAACGTTCAGAAGTTATGGCCAACGTTCATTTTTTTTTTTAAAAAGTAGGTCAAACTCCAAGATCAAGGTCAAAGGGTCAAAGTTCTTGTTATCAAATGAAAGGTCTTGTCATAAGAATCAAATATGTAAAGTATGAAAGCACTGGCCCTAACTCTTTGAAAATATGGTCAAGGTTTGCTTTTTTAAAGTAGGTCAATCTCAAAGGTCAGGGTCAAAGGGTCAAAGTTCTTGGTATCCTGTGAAGGGTCTTCTCACAAGGATTACGTATATGAAGTATAAAAGCCCTATCCCTTACCGTTCAAAAGTTATGGCCAAGGTTAAAGTTTTTTCACAAGTACGAAAATCTACAAGGTCAAAGTCAAAGGGTCAAGGTTGTTGGTATCCAATGAAAGGTCTTTCAACAAACATTGCATATGTGAAGTATAAATATCCTGGTATCTATTGTTCAAATGACATTTTTTTTAATCTTTTATTACACGGTTCCCATCAATACCCATTTACAATTGCCAGTTAACCCGGGTATTTAGGATAACCAGCATAAAAACAATAAAGAAAAAGAAAACTACAAAATATGTCATCATAACAAATTTGTTAAAAGTTTAACTGGGACTTTAAACATACAAGTTTTTGACAAATTTAACATGAAATCTATATCTTTTTCTAATGAACATCTAATGCTTTTTTCTAACATGAACTTCTCTTGTATAATATTTTCTGTTCTACTTTTCATTTTGAATTTATATATTTTATATGCCAGATATGATATTATAGTATTATAAAAGAGAATTCTTGAATTTGTTTCCAAGTAGAATCCTACAACAATATGTTTCCATTGCACATCATAGTTCATAACAATATTCAACTTTTGCCATACACCTTTTACATTATCACAATCAAACATGAGATGTTTTATATCTTCACCCCTCTCAAAGTGCCCCGCCCCGTTTGTTTTATTAGTATTTATAGTATTACATGTCGCTATTTTTAGCACAGGGGCATGAGGAGAATTATTGCGTATAAAACAGGTTCTCGGCGGACTTTATGTTCTTATTACATCTATTAGAACTGTTTAATAAAGGCTAAATAAACACCATGGACTGTATAAAATTTTGACAATACCGAACATGAATATATACATGTATGTGACTTCACTTTTGCATATACTTGACTCCATGTAAAGCGATTCCGTGATCTAGTGGTATGTTTCTCGCTTCCAATGTGAGACGTCCCGAGTTCAAGTCCCAGACGGACAACTTTTTTTTTTTGAAATACTTTTTTTTCTTTACTAAATAATAGTATTCAGCACGCGAAATGAAAAATTTACGAGGTCTGGCTTGTACAAACTCATAAAATCATCATTACAGTGTGATAAATATTCCATGTAAAAAGAATCTTCTATACACATAATAAAGAATAAGCAATTAAATCTTTATATCCATTATGGTATATTTTATTTGCTTCAGTATACATGCATGTATACATTTAATAATTCTACAAATTTAGTGAGGGGGATCCAACTCTCCCCCTCCCTCCCCCCGAACTGCGCATGTTTTACTTTTTCCTTAAGTGGGGGACACAAATTCTCTGAATTAGCTTGTTTTTTCTTGTTTTATTAAAATTATATTTTAATAAAAAGTACTTTAAACCCTCGTCTCCTATAAAAATCACTCTTTTAAGTTACTATGTATGTTTTACAGTGCCTCCTGAGGAATTCTTCTCTGTTAGCGTTTTTATGTCTCTAATTAACCTACATCCAAAACTGTCTGGGGAGTATACAGGTTGTAGATATAAACTGTTGTAACTAATTCGTAGTGAAGGCAGGAATGACAAACTCGCTACAACATGAATGAATGTCTCTATCGGCTATAAATATACTGCCAGAAATAGCAGCAATTCTTAAAATATTCATAGAAAAAAATAAATGATGAATTTTGATTTTAAATTAAATATATTTTATCCAAGTTATCAAAGTTATAACTTCTTTTAGGTAGGATTCTTCTCACACAAAATTATATTTCTTGTATTTAAAAATTAATGAAATTTTCACAGAATCAAGAAGACATAATTACTAAGTGATGCTATCGGTTCGATTAGTTTTGACCGTTTTATATTACAGCCAAGGTCAGGTCAAGGTCATTACCTTTTCCCTGGTCATTAAGAATAAAAATAACTGCATCCAATCATGAGATAGAGTCTTCTATTTCAAAATATTATTTTTTTTTACTTTTTGCATAAAAAGATATTACCATATAGGGTCTACACAATGATATTACCAAATTGACACAAATAGTTTAACAAAAATGGATTTTGGCTAATCCGAATTTCCTCTATTTTTCTTAAATTTTTAGGATATTTAAGTTATTTTTATATGCACCTTGTATTTAAATTTTTCTTATTTTCACATACGGTAAAGAAGTCATATAGAGATACAAAATGATAC